CAGCGGATCTTTTACAGGGTTTGAGAAAGGTTTACGTGTATTGTAAATATATATTACAAAAACTTTTGTTAGAGCGTCAAGAATAATTTTGTGTTACCGGGAAATCTAAGAAATGTAGGTACTTATGCAACTAAAAACTTACTTTTTAATTATTATTATGTGACTAGTATTGTACTGAAGAAAAATTCCGTTGTACCATATGTGGGTGTAAAAAATACATATACAGGGTTAGTCACGAGAAAATTACTTCTGAAAATTATTTTTACGCAACCCAAAATACGAATACCGTGTGCCACTTGATACTAACTGAATTTAAAATGAAATGCTTAATCCATGATTGCTTTGAGTTTGACAGTGTCGTTTTGACAATTCTGGAAAAGGAGGTTACGCGAGTGTCCATGGTGGTACCGCAGCCATTTGGAGATCTCCGCTAGCGCCGCTGATAAGTTTGTCAGGGCTTGCTTCGAGTGCCTCTCGACCTTTTGCAACCGATTAATCACGAGAAAATTATTTCTAAAAATTCCTTTTACGATAGATATATCTGTGACGTGTAAAACAGCTCTTAGATCTAAAAAGAAATGGAAGAAATAATTGGTTCGCAGTTATCCATGAATGACCCTGCTACGAGCTGCTACCTGATTTTATTATTCTCCGCACTTTGCATCCTACAAAAATTTACAACATGGGCTGGAGAAGATTAAAGCCGCTGTTTACATCTGCCCACCTACATCCGGCAGATTAGGCAAATTCTGGGTGAATAGTCGGCCTTCCGAGTGAAATGCCCCTCAATAAACTTTTCAAACTTCCCAAGCTAAAAATTAGTCACGCCATTGCGAATAACCACTACTCAGTGGCGTCGTCATCTTTGTTATTTCTACTGTTTAACGGTATTCACTGTTTGTATTACTTGTTACTTGTGATGTATTGATTGGTTTAAATATTTTAAATAATATTAATTAATAGATAATATAAATCTGTTATGTGCGTTGTTTTATTCAACAATTTTTATTCCATGAGCCGCTTCAAAAAAAAAAAAACTGTACGTCACTGTCATCGGCAGTCTTATCTGGGTAATGAGGGGTACTGTTTATGACACTTTACCGGTTTGGCTCGAAACCATCATTTTAAGTCTGGCACTTCCTCCAGTATGAGTATATTCTTTGCTCCATAGTCAAAACTAATCTTTTTACGATATTGTTTACGCAAATGGCGTAAAAGTGGAAATTGGTATGTAGGTACTTATCAAAGGGAATGAGATAAATTATTCATTCTTTCGTATCTACAAGCGCCTCATTAACAGTGTGAGCGTTCAAAAAAGTTCTGAATGAAAAAACATCTTTGCTTTTATCATGGATTAAGGGGATGTTTGCTAAATGAAAACTGTCGGATTTTTAATTTTGCCGTGTTATTGTCTTCACAAGAAGTTTGCGTGTAGAAAAATAAAGACGAGAAGTACTAGTAAGCTGGTTGAAACTCAGGAAAGCTGGGGTGTAATTTATGACACCCATAATCTCTGGAACAGTTCGGCACCCGCTTGTCGTGTATTATTGTTCGATTTTCGTTCGTCAACAGTTCAATTTTCATATACGAGTTTATAAAAGTGACCACAAGAAATTAATAAGAAATAAAAATCTGAATATGTACAAAAATGAACTTCGAAAAATTAAGACAATAAATAGTAAGACCAAACAATTATAATCTAATTGGGAAACTGATTGATTTACAACAAAAAAAGCACTCAGCCGAATAATTATAAATGCAGTTATTTTTCGGACACAAAACAATCACTTGCGCAACACTTAAAAAGATTTGTGGCAAGTAAAATAAAATCAATTTTAAGTGTCCAAATGGTTCTACTGAGTGTGTCCCTATACTGAAATGCAACGAGAAAATCACCAATTTCTGCATCAGTACGTACCTATATGTCATGATGTAATGCAAATTATAAAATAAACTAGAGACCAATAATTTGTTTCGTTTTTATTTATGCGTATTTATAAATATACTCAATTGTTTTACTTAAAACTAAGTACTTCAATTATTTGGATTACATATTTCAATTATAACTGGTTCCCTAGCTGGTTAGTATCGGCTAAGTTCAAACTAAAGAGGTATAGAAATTACCTGTGTATACTGAATGGTTATCCGGCTAATTATAAGGTTTATGGTAATCTTTTATTCAACAAAATAAAATTCTTTCAGGTAATACACTTTGATCTTTGACAAAAAGCCGAGAAGCAATAGGATTGGTGATTATATAAAGTAACAATAATAAAATTTCTATTAGTAACATTGACTTACACTTTATGTAAGTGTATAAAAACAGCGGCGGGTCTAAAAATCAATAATATTTATATGTACAGAAATTAGGAAATAAAAGCATAATAATAGTAAAACTAATCAAATGATGATTAAACTGCATTTTTTGTTTGTTGTTTTAGTACGTTTTTGACATAATAATTCTGATAAAAGTTTTTTCGACTTTTTCGTGGCTTTGAAAGTGGAATCTTCGACTTTCGTCCCATTTCAAAATTTACTCTTTATATATTTCAATGGTCACAACGAGTTCACTAACTACACTGAAGCACTGACTGAAGTAAATTTATGCAAAGATTAAATTTGTCACCGAAAAGATGTCGGAAGTAATAAATTATCCCATCGGTCCAAGAACGTTCGGTGGGTTTAGACCCCAATCCGAGAGAGACCGCAGTAAGAGACAGCAAATGGAACGAATAAAATAAAGCTTCAAACATGATCAGTTTTAAATCAAAATTATGAAGTTTTATAAATCGCGATTTTTTTATTTTTTTTGAAATATTATAGTAAAGACTTCAAAGAATGTCCATGACTTACTTTAATGTGAATTTTATAACTATAGTCGGCACAGTCGGACCTAATATTAGTGTGATTTTGAGCATATTTGCGATTTTATTAGAGCAAAACAGGTCATTTTTTCTCCAATTTTATAAGTTCCGGACACTAATAGCATATCAAAGATATTGTAAAAAAAAAAATTGAGTTCAGTTTCCAACTAGTTGTCTAGTATTTGTGAAACAAAATCTACTGTAAATTCACTGAAAACTAAACGGATAACATCACCTTAAAGATAATCCAGAACTAATTTGTAGTGACCAAAAAATTATCTGCAAAGAATGCAGTAAACTCCAAGATTAATTGTTAATATATAAATTCAAATTTCTTTGCACCAAATTTATTAAAAAATATATATATTTAATTTTTTAAACTATCAAACGTAATGAAAATTATACTTTTTCACTTAAAACTGTAATGAGAGTTTTTTCACGATTTCATTGATAAATCTATAAATTTTTAATTTGACAGCTGTAATAATTTTAAAGCCATTTTTTATTAAAAAAAATGACGCGTGTAACACGTTTTGAAAGCTATTTTTTTCACTCGTTTAATTGACAAACTTTAAACTTGTGAGAAAAAAAGCAAGAATCACTTACTTGAGTGTCTAATTAATAAGACGAATAATCCAAATGAACATAACAGTAGCATACCGACGAAATATGTGTCAGCATTAAAAAAATTATTTTACAATATTTTCACTTTTTTGCACTTTGGTTTAGTCGGAAATGAGCCTAATACTTACAGTTTTTATAGAACTCGTATGTATTTATTTTGATACTTTTTTAGAAATAATGAAATTTTTGAGGATATAGCACTTTATTTTATTTTCCTCATTCATAACAATTACTTATTTTCTCCATAAACGCTATCATTTTTCGCCTGTGATCAATTGTCGCATGCGACCAGTTGTCTCTGCGTGACGCTGCGATCAGTTGTTTGCGATCAATTGTTGCGCGACGAATTGACGCGGTACTAGCGACAATATACCTCTTGACAAAATAACTCCCGACAAAACAGCCCCGTCAAATTAACTCTGTATGAAACTTTGTAGACAGAAAAAGAAATTATTATTAAATTTTATTTCACAAAGTACAACTGTCGACAATTCACAATTTTTATAAAAACATTATTTACTAAATAACTAATTCCAACAAAATGATAATAATTTGTAATTCAAATGGTATACCTAATATTATAAAACATAAGCAACGAATGCTACTTAGAACTGTAAAATCAAGGTTTTATTGAATAATGATCGCTAGGAAAACGTGCAAAATAAAAAAAATGTTAGTAAAATAATATTGTTACGAACGAAACCCCCGCCCCGGTACGACGCCTATGGGTTCTAGTATGCACGGCGATGATGTCTCATTGTCGGTGACGACGGCCAGAGAAAAACGTGGAAGCGGAAGTCGCGAGTCCAGAAAGACCTCGACTGTGGAATTTCTAGAAGGGAAGTATGGCTTTAAATAGAGGCCACCTTCGGTTCAGTTCACGAGAATACAGTAAAGTTACGCCGGATTTATTTTGTACACAATCGCTGTGTAATCAGTCGTGTAAATTTGAATTATTGAGAAATAAATTGTTGAGTTTAACCCACGCCGATTTTAATCATCCGTTCGACGTAACAATATAAATTAAATCACCAAGTTGCTTCATTCTTGCGGATCCTGGGAATTTATTCTTTGAAGATTTGCTACCTTTTCTGCTTCCCAGTCTTTATTATTCAAGAAACTCCAAAAATTTTCAGTTGGTCGCGGTTGACGCATAGTTGAGAGATTGACTTCTTCCAGTACATTATTATTGTATACAATATATTATTTCGTCACTGGCCTGCTTTATAAAATTTTGGTGTTTTTGTTAATATTTTTCTGTGTACGTCGTCATCTACAGAGTCACTTCTCACACATTTTGCGTCATTTCAGCCTTGGAAATCGTACACTAAACTAATTAAATTAATTAATGATATTCTTGCTATGTTTTGTTTTGAAAGGATATACTGAATGTTCAAAAGTTCTCATTAGTGAAGTGGATTTTGAAAGTATACGACTGCAATCAATGTCATTGGTTATTTACACTAGTACCAAAAACCAAAAAATATTACATAGAACAATTTTTTATGAGTTCTAAAGACATTTTTCTACATTTAACCAAATTTCTTCTACTGGGGAAGAAAACAAACTGCCTGGATTTAGTCCCATAACGTCTGGTGTCTTTTCGTTTAGTGTAAAACGAAAATTTCTAACAAGGCCACATAAACCGACTTTGGCCTGTAATAGGCCGAGTCGCATACCTAAAATTCAATTAAAATTTGAAATAAATGCAAACTTAGACTTAATTATGTACCTATACAACTTCTAGGCCCTTTTCCAAAAGGAATGTACGCACAACTATGCATTTTCTTTTTATTCTCTTCGCTGAATCGTGCCGGGTCAAACTTTTCCGGATCAGGATAATAGTCTGCGTCGCGATGGATTCCCAAAATTGGTATAACCACAGCCGTCCCTTTTTCAATAATAGTGTCTTCGTTTGGCATTTTGTAGTCTTTTGTGCACACTCTATTGACGAACGGAACCGGAGGAAATTTTCTCATGGTTTCTAAAAAATAAATTTGGGTTTTTCCTCTTGCGAATGCACCCAGAAACTCACCATTCATCACCTGATCGAAATATTTCATTTCTTGCAAAGATTGGTAACTGATTTTTCCATCAAATTTCTCCAAGACGTCACAAATCTCATCCCGAAGTCTCTCCTGGATCTCTAAATTTTTCGCAAGTTCGTACAACGTCCAAGTCATTAAAAGAGCAGACGTTTCAAACCCAGCCAAAAAGAACACAAAAGTTTGGGCAGCGATATCTTCAACAGTTAGAGAACCGGATTTCTTTATTTCTATTAATGACTGGATGAAATCGTGACGGGTGTTTCCATTTTTCTCCCGGTATTCAATCACTTCGTGTGCCAAATTCATGAAAAAATCATGCACATCTTTATCAATAGTGCGAATATTCAAAAATGAGCCGAGTCTTGGAAAATTAGAAAAAAATGTTAATTTTAGGCGACTTAGTGTTGTTGTGGGGAGAGCTCTTCGACCGTAAATTTTAAAAGGAGAAATTTCGTTTTCCATAGACTTACAGTCGAGTCCAAAGGCACAAGACCCAATCACGTCTGTGGTAAAATTTTTGCAAAGTTCCACTACTTCAACGGAGCCGAGATTCTCCACTTTCTTGACTAAACAATCTTGACATTGTTTTATAATATCAAACATCATCTTTGTTTTTCCTGCGGTGAAGCTCGGACGTAGTTTAGTTCTCATATCTCTCCATTGTGTGCCTTTTAGGTTTAACAAATGAGCATGCAAGGGCTCTGTTTTCGGGTTTCCACCAACCATACGGTCACAAAAATGCTCAAAATCATTTTCTACAACGTTTTTGATATTGTCGAGATGTACAGGCATATATGTTGGAAAAGCAAAAATGTAGATACCGCTATGTTTCCAACCTTCCTTTTTTATTTGGGCGTACAAGTGGGCTAGTTCCACCCCTAGATTTTCTTTACCTTTAGCGAAATTGGGACAATTGCCGAATGGTATTTGGGGTTGTAGATTTGGAAGTTGTTTTTTGTTCCAATACTGGAATACCCGTTTAAAGTAAGTAAAAATGGTAAAAATTGTAAAAATAACGGCCAGAAATAAAAATGACATAATGATTTTCTCAAATACTCGTTTAAAGTAACTTTAAAGCTGACTGGAATATCGCTTCTGAACTAGTTTTAGACGTGGCTCAACCACCTTCATAATCATAAATTACACATTGTCTAGTAAAATTCATTAATTTATGTTGTTGTTACCTATCATTATAGTTTCGTTCGACTTGAAATATCTTCTCATATATCTTTTATCTCTGTCGCCCTCATTGTTGCTACAAATTATATAATGAGTGAGCGTGAATACAAACAATTTCGGGTGTGCGAGTGCTGCTCTAAGGAAATATTATTATAAAAAAATGTAAAATAAATGTCGCCGTTGTAAAAGAAACAAAATCCGCTTAAGCTCTTTTCAGATTTTCTCATATGGAACACACACACATGACAAAAACACAAACAACACACAACAAATTGTCGATTATGATTGTTGAGGGAATTTTTGTTTCGGCGAAATTTCTGTTGTTGTTGTTTTTTAGTTACGAGATGTTTCGTTTTATATTTGCACAAGGAATAACTAGGACTTTTTCTCAGCACGTTTAGGAGTAATTACATTTTCGAGTTATTGGTGTCTTTGAAAATGTAATGTTATGGTATGTTTATTGAATGTAAAAATAAATAATTTAAATCAGTTTGGTGTTTTATTTGCTCAGTATGAAAAATAGGGAAAGGGCATGGATTGAATTTTAAACAGACTAACGCAGCGCCATTCTTCGTAATATCACGTATTATAACGCCAGTGAATAACTGGTTGCATACCTCAGATGTCGTTAACAATCGAAAATCATACCACAGCATAGATAACAATTGTTATCTATGCTGTGATCATACCACAAAGAACAATAATTTTAATTTGATTTTTGTTTTAACACCAAAGTTATTAATTTCGATCATTTATAACATACTTGTAAAACAATTTGAAAATTGTTGAGATTACTTCAAAAATTAGACTCCAACATTTTTTTAAATTCTTCCAAAAACTGAATAAATAATACAAATTGGCTCTCAAGATTTTTTCACATTATTTCAAGAACAAAGAACTCCAGTGGTTCATAAGATTGTTTCAAAAAACATCAAAATTCAACAAGATTGGTTCAGATTCACTCAAAAACCAAAAACATCAGGAGTTTTCAAATTTCTTTTAAATTCTCTCAGAACCCAAGAAACCAGGTTCAAGATTATTCAAAAACAAAATTCCAGTAGCCAAGTTTCTTCCAAAAACAAAATACCAGAAGCTTTTAAGATTCTTTCAGTCAGTGGATCGAGCTGTATGATCTTATTTTTAAAAACAAAATACAAATTAGCTCTTAGGGTTTTTCCAGGTTCTTTCAAGAAGAAAAAACAGGCGTTCCAAAGATTCTTTCAAAAATAAAATACGAGAGGTCCCTAAGATTTTTTAAAAGAAAGAAGAAATTGGTTCTTGACATTCTTTCAAAAAAAAAAAAAACACCAGGGAACCCAAGAATCTTTACAAAAATATATCAGAGGCAACAATATTCTTTTTATACATGAAAAAATGGCCCCTTCAAAGATAAAACACCAGAGACTTCCAAGATCCTTTTAAATTATTTCAGAAACTGCCACATTCTTTCAAAATTAGAATCCCAACCAAAAGCTTTCAGAATTCTTTCAACAAACTAGCACCCAAGAATCTTTCAAACACAAAAAACACCAAAGGTTCCCAAGATTCTTTAAAAAATAAACACCCCAAAACTCTTTTACCCAATGAATCGAGCCGTATTATCTTACTCTGAAAAACAAAACACAAATTTATCGCCGAGATTCTTTCCTTTAAATTCCTTCAGAACCAAGAGGTTAGGTTTCCTCAGGATCAAACAAAGTACCAAGAACCAACGTTCTTTCAGAAAGAGAATACCGGACCAGAAGATTTTCGGATTCTTTTAGCCAGCGAGTAGAGGTTTATTATTCTTGTTTTATATAAAACTTTCAAGAACGAACATCACCATGGACCAAAATTCTTTCAGACACAAGACACAGAGACCCTTTTCCATTGGCTGAATTAACTTACTCTTAAACACAAAAAATATCAGGGGTTCCCAAGACTCTTTTAAGTTATTTCAGAACCAAGACGTTAGGGTTCCTCAAGTTCTTGAGTCACTGTGTTGTTATTAAGTGAAAAAGAAAGCCAAAGATTAAGCCTCACCTATACCTGCCCCGACCTGAATTTGATGAATTTCATTCGTTTTCAGACCGAGAGGAGGAGCATAATTGCAGAATCCATTTTCCCTACAAAACTTTACCATTTTGAACAAATTTTAAATTTTTGATTATGAAAAAAAAGACTGCCTATATTAAAAAAACCAGGCAAAATGCAAGCCCCGCCCACCCGCCCTATCTCAATTGTGATGATGTTTTTTATTCGTCGTGAACCGGGGGCGGAGCTTAATTGTAAAATCCTTATTTTTCTACAAGTTACAATAAGAAATTCTTAAAAACACAATCTGAAGTCTAAACTTAAGTGGATGAAAGGATTGATCAGGATTGGTCAGAGGGCTAAAAGTACCTGTCTCGGATTATCCATCCCACAAACACACAACACCAGTTATTAATACTTTCTATTTTCTGCAGAACACATCCGAATATACACGATATAATTTAAACAATGCAAAGAATTAAAAAAGGCAAGTCTTAATATTTATATATTTGTATCACGCACACTAAACTTATATATCATAAAAAAAAAACAACAAAAACGACCTATAAAGAAAAGGGAACATAACCACGAATGGTTAAATTTAAAAACCTACAAGTCATATAAATACACATTTACCTAAATAAATCTATTTCACAGATTTTGTTGAATGAATGAAACGATGTTTTGCAGCGTGTTGAACACACTTTTAGAAAATACTTGGAACTTTTTCTCTAAAACCTATCATACAGTCACCGTGTAAACACTTCCAACGTCTTTAGTTTTTGAATGTCACTTTCTGTGCCATTTTGAATACTACTAGAGGCCCTGTATACGTTACACTACTTCGTCAGACTTGAGAATTCCTAATCGAAAGTCACTTCTTCCGTCTTTTCCGCATCCGAGGAGAGCGCTTCGATCAGTGCGTCCACGCAGTTCTTTGGTATTAACGTACCTACGACAAACCGCCTATCAGAAATGGCCACGTACAAGCGACCAAGTTACTCACCAACCACCTTCAGGTCGTCCTTCGTGCGCAGCCTGATCACCTGCATCTTGTTGTTGTGCGTCCCGTTCTTGCTCGCCAGCACGCCCTCCACTCGGCTCCACACCGACAGCACCGATCCGGCCACCACGTTGTACGTTCGCCTCCGCAGCCCCACCTCGCAGTCGTGCCCCAGGTTCACGTTCCTGCAGTTGCCTCGCCAGTAGGCGTGCGAGCACGTGTTCACCGAGCTGTCGTACTGCTGCGTCCACGCCTCCTCCGCGTCCGCCGACTCCACCTTCTTATACTTCTTCTCCAGCTCGGCGAGGCTCTCCTGCCGGAACTGGAGGCCCGTGTTCGGCCGGTACACCGAGAACATCTGCTCTTTCTTCGACTCGCTCTTGTTCTTCTTGGAGGCGGAGGTCTCGACGGCCACCGCCAGGATGGCCGTGTGCTTGCCGTTGCGGATCTGGTGCGATATGTAGAAGCCCTCGTCCTCGCCGGTCAGCTCGGAGAGCTTCTCGAGCGCCTCCGGCCACGACATGCCGCGCTCCACGTGCACGGTGTGCAGCTCGGTGGGGGCGGTGCCGGTGGCGTGTTTGCGGAGGAACGTGACGGTGCGCACGCGCTTCACCATCTCGCCGCCGGCGCCCAGGTCGAGGATACCGAGGTCGAAGCGGCCGGAGCGCTTCGCCTGGGTTATTATTGCCTCGAGCGTGTCGGTGAAATACCTACGGGAGCAATTTAGAGGTTAATTTATGACAATCACTCTGAGCAGCAGTTAAGTAAGGACGATTCTGCGCAGTTTGACCGCTAGAATCGGTCTTACTTTTTGTCAATTCTCGGCGTCAGCCTTCCACTCACCTGAACAGTCTATTTTGTAATTCTACAGGCATTCCGAGTATTCTATTAAGGAACTTCGACATATTATTATAATCCTTATCCAAAGACAGCACCCCCGGCATCGACTCACTATTCACAATCAACCCCACCCCCACCAGCGCGGCGGCGACGTCCTTGAAGAAGTCACCCTTGTAATCCCTCGGCGGTGGTACCAACGGGCTCTCGTACCCCATGACCGCCTTCATGGTCGACTCCAGCGCCGCCCTTCCGTACTTATTATCAATATTAAACTGACTTAAATCTCTAGTTTCGGTCGCCCTCCTATCACCGTGCGTCAACGCCCCCAAACTCTCCAACCTCTTCGCCACGATCGACGCAAATCGCCTCTCTCCGGCCAAATCCGAGATCAAAAATATGTACTCTGGAGCGTTCACCTGTTCACAAACACACAAAAGTCATATTGAGCACCACAAACGCTGCACAATACCTTACCTGGTTACTGCGGTGCGTCCTGCCGAACTGCTGGATCGCCCTGTCCGCCGACCACGGTAGTTCCAAGGTGATGTGGACGCGCCGCCTCTGGTTCTTGACCCTCCGGTCGCTCTGCAGCGATATGCCGCTGGACGCCGCCTCCGAGATGATGGCGACGTCCTTCTCGCCGTCCATGAAGCGCTGCTTCTCGGTCAGGTTGAGCGTTTCTAGGGGGACGTCGCACTCGGAACGGCTCTCGTACTGGATGCCGCCGTCCTCGGTCTGGACAACGCGTCCTTTGCGACCGGTCATCTCGGCGACGTTCTCGGGGCCTCCGAGCTCGTCGATTAGCTGGTCGAGCGTGTTCGGAGGGAGGCGTTCGCCGAGACGCTCGATCTTGATGAGGATCTCCTCCTTCATGCTGCAAGCGCGCTCGATGGCGTCCATCGGGGGGGCGGTGGGCTTCGTTTCGGTGGCCACGCCGCCGTTCACTTTGGCTGGAAGGAAATCAGTTTTTTGTTAGAGTTTAGGAAATGTCAAAATTCGATCGTGGGAATTGTCAGAGCTTGAGTGGGAATTGGAGATTCCAGGAATTGAAAGTGGGAATTGGCGGAAATTGAGAGTAGGAAGACCTAAAAATTGAGCGTGGGAATTCAAGCGCGCGATTTTGAAATCAAGCGCGCGATTTTGAAATCAAGCGCGCGAATTTTCATATAGAGCGCGTGAATTTTGAGATCAAGCGCGTTAATTTTTAGACCAAGTGTGGGAATTTTGAGATCGAACCTGGGTACTCTAAGATATCGACCGCGAAAAGTAGCAGCGATAGGGTGAGAATTCTCAGAAATTGAGCATGGGAATTCTGAGATCTGGAGCGGGAATTCTTAGATCGAGCGTAGCAACTGCCAGAGATAGAGTTCTCATATTGAGTGCAAGAATATTCTGAGGTCCGAGAGTGAGAATGTTATGAGATCGAGCGAAGGAATTCTCGAGAACAAGCGCGGGAATTCTGAGAATGAGGGTGGGAATTTTGAAATCGAGCGTGAGAATTCTTAGGACTATCGCGAGGACTTTCCAAATCGAACGTATGAATTTTCAGAGACTGAAGGTGGTAATTTTGAGATTGAGAAGTTTGAGATTATCCTATGTCGAGTAGCAATCGGGCGTGAGAATTTTCAAAAATTGAGAATGGGAATTCTGACATTTAGCGTTGGAATTTTGAGACCGAGCGTAGGAACTGCCAGAAATCGAATTCTGCTATCACGTGTAAGAATATTCTGCGATCAGAGCGTGGAAATTTTGAAATCGAGCGTGAGAATTCTGAGGTGGAACATGAGAATTCTGAAATATACCGTAGAGATTTCTACAGATCGAAAATAGGAATTTTTACACATCGAAAGCAGAAATTTTCATAGATTGAACATGGAAAGTATCAGTGATGGGGAGTGAGAATTTTCAAAAATCAATCATGAGAATTTTGAGAACAAGCGTGGGAATTTGTTCGAAATCGAGCGTGGGAAATTTCAGGGACTGAACGTGGAAATTATAAGGACCGGTGTTGGAATTCTGAGATCTAGAGCAGGGATTCCTAGATCTAGAGAAGAAATTCTAAGATTGAGTGTGGGGGGGATTCTGACATCGAGCACGAGAATTTTGAAATCTACCGCGGGTTTTGACAGATCGAGAGTGGGAATTTTCAGAGATTGGGAACACGAGAATTTTCAGAAATAGAGCTTGCGAATTCTGAGATCAAGAGTGGGGACTGTCAAGATCTTGAACGTGGGAATTATCAGAGATCGAGCGTGGGAACTGACAAGATATTGAGCATGGGAATTCTAAGCTCGAGCATGGGAAATTTCGACATCGAGTGTAGGAGCTTTTTGAGAACAAGCCTGAGAATTCTGAAATCAAGCGTGGGAACTGTCAAAGTATTGAGCATGGGAAATGTCAGTGGTTGACCGTGGAAAATGTTAGAGGTTGACCGTGGAAAATATCAGCCATCAAGCGTGGGAATTCTGAGATCGAGCATGGGAATATTCTGAAATCGAGGGTGGCAATCTTCTGAGATAGAATCTAAAAATTTTGAGATCAAGCGTAGGAATTGTCAAGATGTCGAGGACGAGAATTGTCAGAGATCGACCGTGAAAAGTATCAGTGGTATTTTCAATGACTGGGCGCGGAAATTCTAAGCTCGAGCGTAGGAATTCTGAGATCGAGGGTGGAGATATTCTGAAATCGAAATTGAGAATATTCTGACATCGAACGTGAAATATTCTGAGACCTAGGGTGAGAATTTTGAGAATGAACGTGGGAAAATTGAGATCAAGTCTGAGAATTCTGAAATCAAGCGTTGGGAACTGAGCGGGGAAATTGTCAGAGATCGAGCGTACCAATCTTCTAAGATTAAGCGTGGGAATTCTAAGCTCGAGCGTGGGAAATTTTGAGATCAAGCCTAAGAATTCTGAGATCAAGCGTGGAAACTGTCAAAGTATTGAGCGTGGGAAATGTCAGAGATCGACCGTAGAAAATAGCCATCGAGCGTGGGTATTTTCAGTGAAAGGACATGGGAATCTTCTGAGATAAAGTCTAAAAATTCTGACATCGAGCATGTTAATTGTCAAGATATCGAGCACGAGAATTGTCAGAGATCAACGGTTGAAAGTATCAGCCATCGGGAGAGGGTATTTTCAATAATTGAGCATAGAAATTCTAAGCTCCAGCGTGGGAATTCTGAGAACGAGGTTGCGAATATTCTGAGATCAAGCCTGAGAATTCTGAAATCAAGCTTTGGGAACTGTCAAGATATTAAGCGTGGGAACTGACAATATATTGAGCTTGAGAATTCCAAGCTAGAGTAGAAGAAATTCTGACATCGAGCGTAGGAATTTTTTGAGATCAAGCCTGAGAATTCTGAAATCAAGCGTGCGAACTGTCAAAGTATTGAGCGTGGGAAATGTCAGAGAGTGCCCCTGGAAAATATCAGCCATCAAGCGTGGGTATTTTCAATTAATGGGCGTGAGAATTCTAATATCGAGCATGGGTATATTCTGAAATCGAGCGTAGAAATCTTCTGAGATAAAGTCTAAAAATTCTGAGATCAAGCGTGGGAATTGTTAAGATATCGAGGGCGAGAATTGTCAGAGATCGACCGTGGAAATATTCTGAGATCTAGGATGACAATTTTGAGAATGAACGTGGGAATATTCTAAGATCAAATCTGAGAATTCTGAAATCAAGCGTTGAGAACTGCCAAGATATTGAGAGTGGGAATTGTCAGAGATGGAGCGTGGGAATCTTCTGAGATCAAGTGTGGGAAATGACAGGATATTAAGCGTGGGAATTCAAAGCTCGAGCGTGGGAAATTTTGAGGTCGAGTGTAGGAAATTTTGAGGTCGAGCGTAGGAAATTTTGAGGTCGAGTGTTGGAAATTTTGAGGTCGAGCGTAGGAAATTTTGAGGTCGAGCGGAGGATTTTTTTCAGATCAAATCTGCGAATTCTGAGATCAAGCGTGGGAACTGTCAAAGTATTGAGCGTGGGAATTGTCAGAGATGGACCGTGGAAAATATCAACCATCAAGCGTGGGTATTTTCAATGAATGAGCGTGGGAATCCTGACATCGAGCATGGAAATATTCTGAAATCGAGCTTGGGAATCTTGTGAGATAAAGTTTAAAAATTCTGAGATCAGGCGTGAGAACTGTCAAGATATCGAGGGCGAGAATTGTCAGAAATCGACCGTGGAAAATATCAGCCATCGGCCGTGGGTATTTTCAATGATTGAACACGGGAATTCTAAGCTCGAGCGTGGGAATTTTGAGATCGAGGGTGGAAATATTCTGAAATCGAGATTGAAAATATTGTGACATTGAACGTGGAAATATTCTGTGATCTAGGTTCAGAGTTTTGAGAATGAACGTGAGAATATTCTGAGATCAAGTCTGAGAATTCTGAAATCAAGCGTGGGAATATTATGAAATCGAGAGTGGGAATATTTTGACATCGAACATGGAAATATTCTAACAGGGGTGAAAATTTTGAGATCGAGCGTGACAATATTCTGAGACAATGCCTGAGAATTCTGAGATCAAGCGTTGAGAACTGTCAAGATATTGAGCGTGGGAATGATCAGAGATCGAGCGTGGTAACTGACAAGATATTGAGCGTGGGAATTCTAAGCTAGAGCATGGGAAATTTTGAGGTAGGACGTAGGAATTTTTTGAGATTAAGCCTGAGAATTCAGAGATCAAGCATGGGAACTATCAAAGTATTGAGCGTGGGAAATGTCAGAGATCGACCGTGGAAAATATTAGCCATAGGGCGTGGGTATTTTCAATAGTTGAGCGTGGGAATTCTAAGCTCAAGTGTGGAAAATTTTGACATCGAGCGTAGGAATTTTTGAGATCAGTCTGAGAATTCTGAGATCAAGCGTGGGAACTGTCAAAGTATCGATCGTGGGTATTTTCAATCAATGAGCATAGGAATTCTGAGATCGAACATTGGAATATTCAGAAATCGGGCGTGGAAATCTTCTGAGATAAAGTCTTAAACATTCTGAGATCAAGTGTGGGAAATCTGAGAATTTTGGGATTGAGCGTGAGAATCTTCCGAGATTAAACCTGAGGGGTCAATAAAATGATTCAAAAATTAATTTTGTTCTGTGAATTACAGCGAGATCGACTTGTCATGGCTACACGCATCACACATCACAAATACTTCTAACACAAAACTGCGGGTTTTTGCAGCCACGTAAACAATGTATCGCGTTCTCCATAGTATTTTATCAACAGATGAGATTCTAGGGAGAATTTTGAACTGACAATCGCAAAAAAACTACTCTCTTTAACGAATTTTACTTTAACTTTACCAAATCTGGCAAAAAATGTATTCAAAATTTAAAATTAAGACAGTACCTTTGTTAGTCTTCTGTGTTAATATCATCGATAATTTATCCTGCGTAGACGTCCTCTTCTTCGGGGACTTCTTCTGCTTCTTCCCCTTCTTCTTGTTACGACTCCACGGATCATTGTCCGAATCACTATCCGAATTAAACGGATTAAAATCGCTGCTGGCGTTCGAATCGGAATGTTCCTCAGAAATCTCACTCTCGACATCAGACATGTGATACTCCGAATCTGCGCTCTTCACGGAATCGTTATCACTATCCGACGTCGACCATTTGTTCCTCTTCACAGCTCTGACGGCAGCCTGGCGCACTAAACAAAGCAAAAACAAACAAAAAATCGCCGCGATTCACACATTAAAAATCCTTACTTTTACGCTTCCCAGACGAGCTGCCTTCGTCGTTGCCGTTCGCCGCCTTCTTCGACACGCTCGACGGCGGCTCGAGCCCCAACAGCCTGTGTATCCTGCTGCGGTCCGGCGCCGGGAAATGTTTCTCCACCAGGGTTTGAAACACGCCTAGAACGCGAATTAGAAATGCCGCGATTGTACGACTCTCACTCACCTTTTGCCGTCGATACGAAGTCGGTGAGCTCGCCGTCGTCCCTCTCTAGCTGTTCCAAAGTTCGCGCTTCTCCCGTACTCTGTAAGCCTATAACTACGCATTTGCCGCACTTGATGGCTTCGTGTGCCACCGCCACGGCGTGCGGCACTTTCGCCGCTATGCACAAGTACTTGAAGAATCTCTGGTGAGCGGACCAGAACTGACCCCACATGGTCTTGCGCATGCGGTTTTCGGCATCGACGAGTTCGGCGGCCTCGTGGAATTTCTGCATGGCTTCCACCCATAGTCTGACGCTGGCGTCGTAGGTTTTTTCGAAATCTTTGGATAGGGGGACCTCTTCGATTTTGAAGGCGACGCCGTGGAAACTAAGCTGGCGGGCGATGTACATGCCTGCGAGTGGAAAGAAATTAATGAAATTTGGGAATTCTGAGATTGAGCGTGGGAATTCTGGGATTGAGCGCGGGAATTCAGATAGTGAGCGTGGAAATTTTGAGATTGAGCGTTAGGAATTCTAAGATTGAATGTGGGAATTCTGAGACTGAGTATGGGAATTCTGAGAAAGCATGATAATTTTTAAAAATCGAGCGTTGAAATGGCTATCGACCTTAGGAATTAGAGATTGCGGGAATAATGTGAAATCGAGCATTGGAATATTTTGACATAGATGGGGAATTATAGTTTGAGGACAGAAACTTCAGAAATTGAAAGTGGAAATTATTAAAAAACGAAAGTCAGTATTTTAAGAGAGAGAGAGAGAGAGAGAGAGAGAGAGCGTGGGAATTGTGAAAGATCAGGCGTAGGAAACCCCGCGGATTGAGCGTGAGAATTGGGGGAATTCTGAGATTTGACGGGTCAACTTTCAAATTGAAAGTAGGAATTTACAAAGATCGAGCATGAGAACTATTTAGTGATCAAATGTGGAAATTGTCAAAGATCGAACATAGGAATTGTAAGATATCGAGCATGAGATGGAGTTTTGAGATTGAACGTAGGAATATATTGAGATTCAGAATTATCAAAGATCGAATATGGAATTTTCAAAATCGACCATTAAAATTGCTAGAAATCGACCGTGGGAATTGTCACAGATCAAACGCAGGAATTTTCTCAGAACGAGTGTGGGAATTGTGATAGAACGAGCGTGGAAAATTTGGGATTGAGCGAGATCGATCTTGGAAATTCTGAAATCGAGATTAACAATATTCAAGAGTCGGCGCATAGAAATTCTGAGATCTGGGCAGAGAACTTTCAGATCAAGAGTAAGAATTTTCGGAAATCGAATATAAGAACTATTTAGACATCGAACGTGGGAATTGTCAACGATCGGACATGGGAATTGTAAAACATCGAGCATGGAATGATTTGCGGGAATATATTGAGATTGAGCGTGTAAACAATCTGAGGTGGACCGTGAGAATTCTGAGATTGAGCATGGGAATTCTCAAAGATCAAACGTTGGAATTGCAGATTGACTGTAGAAATTGCCAGAGGCAGAACCTGGAAATTGTCACAGATTGAGCGCGGGAATTTTCAGAGATCGAGCGTGGGAATTGTCATGAGCAAGCGTGGGAATTGTCATGAGCAAGCGTGGGAAATCTGAGATTGAGCGAGATCGAGTATGGGAATATTCTGAGGTCGAATGTAGAAATGGTCATAGCTCGAGAGTGGGAAATTTTCAGAAATTGAGCATGGAAATTTTGAGAACGAGTGTGGGAATCATCAAAGATTGAGTGTAGAAATTTTGTAAGATCAAGCGTTGAAATTGTTAGAAATCGACCATGGGAATTAGAGATTGACTGTTAAAATTGTCAGAGATACAGGGCGGGAATTTTCTGAGAACAAGCGTGGGAATTGTGACAAAACGAGCGTGGGAAATCCGAAATTGGATAAGATCGGGCGCGGAAATTCTGAAATCGAGATTTAATATTCAGAATCTGAGCATAGGAATTCTGAGATCTGGGCGTCAAACTTTCAGATCTAGAGTAGGAATTTTCCGAGATCGAGTATGAGAAATATTTAAAGATCGGACGTGGGAATTAGGGCATGAGATGGAATTTTGAGGTCGAGCGTGTGAATATATTGAGATTGAACGTGAAAATTCTGGGATTGAGCATGGGAATTCTCAAAGATCAAACATTGGAATTGCTAAAAATTGACCTTGGGAATTACAGATTGACTGTAGAAATTGTTAGAGGTAAAGCGTGGGAATTGTCACAAATTGAGCGCGGGAATTTTCAGAGATTGAGTATGGTTCGAATGCAGAAATTGTCATAGCTTCTGAATGGGATTCTTACAGATTATATGCGCAATTTGTCAGAAATTTAGTGTGAAAAATAATCTGGAATCGTGGAAATTGTTAAGGGATTGGGCGAGGGAGCATAGCAATTAAAGATCGAACTTAGGAATTGTCAAAAATAGAAATTGTCAAAAAAGCAAGTATTGTCAGAAATCGAGCATAGAAATTTTCAAAATTCAAGCGTGGGAATACGAATATTCTGGCGTCGAACGTGGGAATAACCTGAAATCGAATATTCTGACATCAAAGAGAAATTAAGAGATTGAGCATAGCAAGTTCCAGAAATTAAAAGTGGCAAACATCAGAAATCGAGAATGGGAAATCAGAGACATTTTCTCAAAATGACCATGAAAATATTGAAATCGAGCTCTGAGAATTGTCAGAGAGCAAGCGCGGGAATTCTGAGATTGAGTGGGAAATTTTCAGAGATTGAGCATGGAAATTCTGCGAACTGCCGTGAGAACTTTCACAGATGGAGAATGGGAACTTTCGAAGATCAAGTGTGGAAATTTTCAAAGACTCAGCTTGGGAATTTTCAAAGAACGAGTTGAAATTGCTAGAGATCGAGCGTGGGAATTGTCGTATATCGAGCGTAGGAGTATTCTCAAAATGAGCATGAAAATACTGAAATCAAGCGCTGAGAATTGTCTGAGTGCAAACGCGGAAATTCTGAGATTGAGCGTAGGAAAATATTGAGATCGAGCGTGTGTAAACTATCACAGGCGGGGCGTGAGAATTGTAAGATTGAGCATGGGAATTCTGAGAACGAGCACGGAAATCATCAAAGATCGAGTGTGGAAGTTTTCAAAGACTCAGCTTAGGAATTTTCAAAGAGCGAGAGTTGAAATTGCTAGAGATCGAGCGTGGGAATTGTCGTATATCGAGCGTAGGAGTATTCTCAAAATGAGCATGAAAATACTGAAATCAAGCGCTGAGAATTGTCTGAGTGCAAACGCGGCAATTCTGAGATTGAGTGGATTGAGAACGCCCCATGTTATTATGATCTGAAAGAATATCCGGAGATTCTTTGCTGTATTATTTTTGAAAAAAATTTGGAACATTTCAGAGATTCCTGTAAAGAATTTAATAGAATCTTAGGGACCCATGGTGTTTTATTTTTAATAATTTGAAAGAATCTCAGGTGTTCTATTTTGAAAGAATCTGGAAGCACTTCGAAGTTCTCTAGGTGTTTCATTTTTGAAAGAATCTCCGGGATCTCTTTGTTTTATATTTAAAAGAATTTGAAAGAATCTCGGCGTTCTTTTAGTGTTTAATTTTTGTAGGTGTTTACAAGAACCTTCGGAGTTTCCCTGGTGTTTTACTTTTGAAAGAGTTTGAAAGAATCTTGAGACACCTAGTGCGATTTTTTTAAAGAATGTAAAAGATTCTTCGGGGCTTCTGAATATTTTATTTCTGAAAGAATTTGAAAGTAGCTTGAGAACGCTCCATGTTGTTTTTATGGTCTGAAAGAATATCCAGAGTTTCCTTGATGTATTATTTTTGAAAGAAATTTGGAACATTTCAGCGATTCCTGGAAAGAATTTAATAGAATCTTAGGGACCTATGGTGTTTTATTTTTAATAATGTGAAAGAATCTCGGGTGTTCTATTTTGAAAGAATGTGGAAGCAGTTTCGAAGTTCTCTTGGTGTTTCATTTTTGAAAGAATCTCCGAGATCTCTTTATTTTATATTTAGAAGAATTTGAAAGAATCTCGGCGTTCTTTTAGTGTTTAATTTTTGTAGGTGTTTACAAGAACCTGGGGGGTTTCTTTGGTGTTTTACTTTTGAAAGAGTTTGAAAGAATTTTGAGACACCTAGTGCGATTTTTTTAAAGAATGTAAAAGAATCTTGAGAACGCCCCATGTTGTTTTTATGGTCTGAAAGAATATCCGGAGTTTCCCTGCTGTATTATTTTTGAAAGAAATTTGGAACATTTCAGAGATTCCTGGAAAGAATTTAATAGAATCTTAAGGACCCATGGTGTTTTTAATCATTTGAAAGAATCTCGGGGTTCTATTTTGGAAGAATGTGGGAGAATTTCGGAGTTCTCTTGGTGTTTGATTTTTGAAAGAATCTCGGGGATCCATAGTGTTTTATTGTTGAAATATGTAGTTTGGAAGAATCTTAGTGGCCTCTATTGCCACTTTTTTCAAAAAAAGCGTAAAAGATTCTCCAGGATCTCTTTGTGTTTTGTATTTAAAAGAATCTAGGGGTTTTCTTGGTGTTTTATTTTTGAAAGAATTTAACAAAATATTGGGGGCTCCTATTGGCTTCTCTTTAAAGAATGAAAAAGATTCTTCGGGATCTCTTTGTGTTTTATTTCTGAGAGAATTTGCAAAAATCACGGAGGCCCCTAGTGTTTTATTTTTAAACAATGTGAAAGAAACTAGGTGATTACTGGGGTTTTATTTTTGAAAAAGTTTAAAGGAATCTTGAGGATTCCTACTGCCGTTTTTTTAAAGAATGTAAAGGATTCTCTGGATCTTCATATCTTTTTTCTGAAAAAATTTTGAAGAATCTTGGGGACCTCTGATGTTTTATTTTTAATAACTTGGAAGAATCTTTTTCCCCAAGAATGTAAAAGATTCTTCCGGACCTCTTTGTGAATCTCTGAGGTAACTGATGATTTATTTTGGACGAATTTTGGAAATTTCGCTGGTGTTTGTTACACTTTTGGAAAAAAAATAAAAAATTTGAAAGTCTTTAGTCTGTCCTCTATAACCAATTTTTTAGGAAAACGACTCGGTTTATTACAAGCCAAAGTCGGCCTCAGCTGCCTCATCAAGAACTTCAAGTTCACCGTGAACCCCAAAACTCAAGAACCCCTTCAAATGCAACCGAGTCCCACTATTCTAGCGGCAGTGGGTGAAATTTGGTTGAACGTCGAAAAAATATAATTTTTTTCTTTTCAATAAAAAAGTAGACAAAACTTACTAACCTCTCAACTTCATATCCATCGCCACGATCTCCATAGCACCGACTCCTCTCTTTTCCACTGCCGAAATAAAATCGGCAAACTCTTTGAATGGTGTGCCTTCACCCCACATGCCCAACCGTACCATATATGCCATATTCCTGGGTTCCGAGGCACCCGTAGCGGACGCGTAAACGACCCGCGCTTTGGGTAATTTGTTCTGTATTTCCAAAACCGTCAAACCTAAATTCAGGATGTTTTTAGACAAACGTAGACTTTAAAGTCACTATTCCTACCTGTCTTCGTCGGCTTCGACGACCCCACCGGACACAGATTCTTCGCCCTGTGACACTCGTCAAAGATAATCAAACCATCAAAATCCTGCCCGCACCACTGCAGCAGCTGCTTCAGCCTCGACTTGTACTTCCCCCCCGCCGAATTGCTCTCGCCAATCAGCGCCGAGTACGTGCTGAAAATCACCCCCTTCTTGACGTTCCCGTTCACCGCCGACGAGATCTTCGCGTATTTGAATTTGTTCAGCGGGTGGACCTCGATCCGGCCGGCTCCGATGTCGCGCAGGTCGCGCTCAGCGTCGTACTTGAGATCGTTCGAGACCGACACCCAGATGGCGCGCTTACGCCCCTTCATGTAGTTTTCGAAGATTACCCCGGCGATGGTGCGGCCCTTGCCGACGCCGGCGCCGTCGCCGATGAGGAAGCCAGCGCGCGAGCCGTCGGGCAGGATGTGTTCGTGCGCCTGGCACGCGTAGGTGATGCTCTCGAGCTGCAGGGCAGAGAGGGCGCCCGACCGGATGGTGTCGTCGGGGATGGAGAGCTTATACCAGACGTCGGCGGGCGCCACGGACGAGAGGGAGGCGGTCTCGACGACGGGATCCGGGTGCTTCTTGCCGAGCTTGAGCTTCGAGGGCATGTAGTCGGCGTAGGTCTCGGCGACGCCGAGCTCTTCATCGTCGACCTGCAATTTGGGGATTTTTACTCTGAACTGTCAAATAAAAAACCAAATTTCATGACCTACTAGATGACTTTTTCCAATCATATAGTGATCATGTGTTATTTTTGGTGTAATATTGGTTGCCTATTTTCATTTTACTAATAGTTTACCTCTTCCTCCTCCTGGTGGTGCATCGGCTTCGCCCCGGCGTTCATCCACATCGACGCCACCGCCTTATTGCTCAACTGGCCGCCCCACGTCGGCGGCCCCGTCGGGTTTGAGTACAGCAGGGCCGACAAATTCTGCAGAAACGGATTCTGCATGTAGGGGCTGTTCATCCCCAACGCCGCCATCTCCACTGTCAACAGAACACCGATTACAACCTCCCTTCGAACACCTCCACACACCAATAAATAAATAAATAAATAAATATATCAACAACAAAAAGCGCCTCACATGCTGTCAACCAATCGTAGAAAGGAAAAAAAATGTCAAAAGAAAGAAAAAAATTTCGACTCCTCTGCTGTGGTTAATGCTACACTACCTACTCGAAGGATACAAAATAAGTACATGCTTCTGTTAATTTCGGCAATCCCTTTCAACTATCCAAAAAGTGAAAAAGGGGCGAAACTCACGTTGTTTAAGCGAGTTGGACTTACTCTGTTGGAGAAATTGGGCTGCGTTGAAGCCACCCGGACCAGAGGGCGGAAACATGGAGCCCATGTTCATGGGGCCCCCCAAACTGCTGAGCATGCTGGCCATCGCGGCCACACTGCCCATACTGTATGGGGAACCCACTGCAACACCACAATGAGAAAAACCCAACCACGACAATGTATGGAGTTTGTTAGTTACAGAAGGTGAGACGAAATGGCCGTTCCACAACGTGACCACAGATCCGTGGGGGTCTTTTTAGATTAACAACTTACATATTAACTTGCAAACTTCAAAGAACAACTTTGGATTGTGGTTGTAGCCAAAGTTCAAGCAAAATGTCTGGATTCTGGATTCTGGATTCTTAATTTATGGGGGCTGACCGTAGCCAGCCGGCACTTAGGCCTCGCCTTTGGGCCCATTGTACCTTCCCCAAGTCCATATCAGGGTGTTTTCCCGCTCCTCTACTCGTCAAGCCATCCAACTGCTTGAATGTACTTGAGTAATGCAGAGGGTGGAAACTCCCTGATATTTGCCATACTAGGCCAGATGTCCCCTAGTATGGATTCCCTGTAGGAGGCTAGGGCTGGACACTCACGAAGAATGTGCTCAGCTGTTTCCTCTTCTTCATTGCATCCACGACAGATTGGGTCTGTTGCTACCCCTATCGTATGTCTGATAGTAGATCGAGTTTTTACTTTTCAATGCAAGAGGTTTTACTATTGGATTTTTAAAATCAATATTCCTATGTACAGCTTGTAATTTACAGTATCCGTACTCTATTTTTAGTGTAACTATAAGACTTATTATAACATTAAATATTCAGTAGTATAAAAGAGATTTGTGGTTATATCGATAATTTACTGACTAAGAGGAATCAATCGTATATAATCACATGTAATTAGCTCTAATTATCTCCAATTTACGAAATTATGTCTCAATTGGCTACAATTATTTATTTATTTATCCATTAGTTATTTCAATTCATTATAAATCACTATTAATTAACATAATTATTAATTGTTAGTCGCTGTTAATACTTATGCACCAATATAAAGGAAAATAGTTTTAAAATTTATTTGTTAATTTTCCTTTGACTGATTTAATTAATGGATTAATCCGTATGTTATTTCAACATATGTCAATTAATTATAATTAATTTATTCACTCTCTGACCTTTAAGAGAAACAATTCACATTTCCAATGTTCCAAGGATTGTTTTTGAAAAATTTTTCCTTGTAAAATCAAGAACAAAGTTGCTTTCTGTTCCACCTTAATATTATATATATTATAATTAATCAGTTATTAATTTTAGTTGAGTATAGTTAATAATTACAGTTAATTTCTCCTAATTAACTTAATTCATTTATCCCCTTTTCATTTGATCGTTATTGAAAAGTTGCGTTTGTGTTGAATTTTCTTAATTTTTTTAAGAAATAAAGAATATAAAATTTGTACCTAATGGTTAATTATAATGAATGACTAAAGACTATTATAAATCACCATTAATTAACATAGTATTAATTGATTTAATTAATGTCTAATCCATTTGATCATTATTGACCCCTCAGAACGAAAAATTTACATTTTTATAATCACGTGCTTAAAAATTTTTCTCAAATCAGGAACAGAAAGTTGCTTTTCTGTCGAATTTTCTCATTTTTTTCTGAACGAATTAAAGATTATAAAATTTTCATCTGATAGTAATTGTGGGGGCTGGCAAGTCCCACAAAATTGTATAGTATTTGTAAAGTACTCGAAAAGCTATAACGTTATATGACCATCATAAAATTATCCCATTGTGTCGATGTTAAGTTGTTTACAACAGAAAAGGTTTTAAGGTCGTAAATAACGTGTCCACTGCAGCTCGACCGGCTGCTGTTGGTTCGTTCAAGGGTGTCTTTCACTAAATATCTAACTACCTACTGCTACTACCTGCAGCCACAAAGGGTTCCGAAATAATCAGTCGCTTTGAAGACGATTTATTGCCAACCCGTAAGCTTAGTGCGAACCACACAAAGGGGGTATTTATTTGCGGTCAACAACTTTTACGATGGTCATATAACCTTATATCTTTTGGGCTATATATTTGTATATAATCTGTATTTAATTACTTCCAACCAATATCACCCCGAAAGTTTCTCTTCGTCCACCTGCATGTCGTAAAACCTATCTTTTGTTCACCCTTCTCAGTAATACTTATCCTTTCCCAGATTTCGAGTACCTTCCAAGAACCCTTTAGACACAACTGTGTTCACCCCAAGTGCTGTTTCAATCACCTGATCACCCCACATAATTATTCCAAAAACTTCATTAAATTTCATCATTAATTAACACAAGTCATATTAATTTTGGTTTGGTATTTAATCGCCGTGAATACTTATCTACAATTAATAATTAAAAAGAAAAATTGCATTCCGATTAATTCTGATTAATTTCCCTTAATTGATTCATCCGTTTATCAATTGATCATTACAATTTTCCAATTAATTTTAATTAATTAATTTATTCACTGACCCGTATTTTCTTAGAAGGAAAAAAATCGTATTTTTTAATTGGACCTCATGGTTAATTATAATTAATCATCTAAGACTTAATTATAATTCACCCCTAATTAATTAACAGTTATTAATTTTAGCTGAGTATAGTTAATCGTTGTCGATACTTGCTTACTTTTATTAATTACAAGAAAAATGTTATTACTATTATATGTAGCTTATTTCCTTGGCTTGATTAATTGCGTAATTCGTTTGTCCACTAATTAAATTGAATTACAATTAATTTATTCTTTCACTGACCTGTATTTCCTTGGAAGGTCAAACATCTTCAAAATTACGTAAAAAATTTTTTCTTGAAACAAGAACATTGTTGGATTTTCTTCTTTTTTTATAAACAAAATAAAGATTTCAAGATTTCGTCTTAATAATTAATTATAATTAATCACCAAAAACTTCATTCACTATTAGTTAACACATATATTAATTTTGGTCGAGTATATTTAATCACTTTTGAAACTTAGGTACTTTTGATAAATAAAAGTAAAAATTTTATTGCGATTAATTATTGTTAAGTTCCCTTAATTGGATTCATTCATTGAGTAATTCCTTTATTAATTAATCATAATTGAACTTTCGCCAATTAATTTAATTCGATGTATTATGATTAATTATAGTTAATTTCCCTTAACTGGCTCAATTAATTGAATAATTCGCTTGTTAATTAATCATAAAGAAACACTTGCCAATTAATTATAATTAGCTTATCCTTTCATTGACCCATACTTCCCTATTTTGAAAATTGTGTTAAAAATTGGGTTAAAAATTTTTCTTTGATCAGGAATAGAAAGTTGCTGCAGAAAGATTATAAAATTTTCACCTGATAGTAATTATTATTAATCACCAAAAACTTAATTAAATGTCATCATTAATTAACACAAGTCATTAATTTTGATTGACTGCATTTAATTACCGTGAATACTTAATGCAATTAATAATTAAAAAGAAAAATTGCATTCCGATTAATTCTAATTAATTTCTCTTAATTGAATCATCTATTTATTAATTCATTTTTATTAATTAACCAATTAATTATAATTTTGTCATTCACTACTTTCTTAGAAGAAAAAAATCATATTTTCAAAATGGTGTTACAAATTTTTTAAATAAATTTTCTCAAATCATTCGTAAAAAATTACTTTCCAGTTGGACTTTTTTTCAAGAAATAAAGATACTAAAATTTGGATCTCATGGCTAATTATAATTAATTACCTAAGACTTAATTATAATTCACCATTAATTTATTAGCAGTTATTAATTTTGGTTGAAATAGTTAATCACTTTTGAAACTAAACTACTAAAAATTTTATTACGATTAATTATTGTTTAGCTCCCTTAATTGGCGTATTTCATTGGGTAATTCGTTTGTTAATTAATCGTAATTGAACTTTTGCCAATTAATTTAAATATAAAATAAATGTGCTGCGATTAATTATAGTTAATTTCCCTTAATTGGCTTAATTAATTGAATAATTCTCTTAAATTTTCAAAATTGTGTTAAAAATTTTTGAAAATTGTTTCTTGAAAGAAACAAGAACAAAAATGTCTTAATTTTTTTTTTTTAACGAAATGAAGAATCTACAGTTGCCACCTGATAATTATAATTAGTCACCAAGAACTTAATTATAATTCACTATTAATTCACAGCTATTAATTTTGGTGGAGTATTTTGAATCGCTTTTGAAACATATTTAGGTACCTTTAATAAATAAAGGTAAAATTTGTATTACGATTATTATAGTTAAGTTCTCTTAAACGGCTTCATTCACTGATTAATTCGTTTGATAATTAATCACAATTAATTATAATTAAATATTCTTTCACTGACCCATACTTCTTTAGAACAATTAATTATAATTAATTTTGTCATTCACTGACCCATACTTGCTTAGAAGAAAAAAAAAATTTAAATGGTGTTACAAATTTTTTAAATAAATTTTCTCAAATCATTCGCAAAAAAATATTTTTCTGTTGGACTTTTTTTTTAACGAAATAAAGATTCTAAAATTTGGACCTCATGGCTAATTATAATTAATTACCTAAGACTTAATTATAATTCACCACTAATTAATTAACAGTTATTAATTTTGGTTGAGTATAGTTAATCGATTTTCATATTTTCCTACTTTTATTAATCAAAAGGGAAAATTGTATTATGATTATTGTTAATTTCCCTTAATTGGCTTGACTAATTGAGTAATTCGTTTGTCTATTAATTAAATTGAAATATTTGACAATTAATTTACAGTTTCAAAATGACGTAATTTTTTTTTCTTGAAAGAAACAAGAACAAAAAGTTGCTCTACTGTTGGATTTTTTGTTTTTTGTTTATAAACAAAATAGAAATTCTAAAGTTTCGACTTTGTAATTAATTATAATTAATCACCAAAGATTTCATTATAATTCAGTATTAATTAACAGAGACATTAATTTTGGTTGTGTTTATTAAATCGCTTTTGAAACAACAACCTTTAATAAATAAATGTAAAAATTGTATTACCGTTAATTATAGTAAACTTTTTGTTGGGAACTTGGCTGCAGTCCTTGACTAATTCATTTATTAATTAATTATAAATGAACATTTGTCAATTAATGATTAATTTACTGCATTATGATTAATTATAGTAAATTTCCCTTAATTCGTTTAATTAATTGAAGAATTCATTTGATAATTAATCATAATTAAACATTCGCCAATTAATTACAATTAATTTATTCTTTTACTGACACATACTTCCTTAAAAGGATAACCTTACATTTGCAAAATTTCGTCATAATTTTTTTTTTAAGAAATAGGAAATAAAGATTCGAAACTTTCCATGTGATAATTAATTATAATTAACCACCGAAGACGTCATTATAATTCACTATTAATTAACGCAAATATTAATTTTGGTTTAGGATTATTTATGGCTAAGTTCCCTTAACCTTGGCTTCATTCATTGAGTAATTCGTTTGTTAATTAATCATAATTGGAGATTTGTCAATTAATTATAATTAATTTATTCTTTCACTGATCCTAATCTCACACACAATTTGCGTGTTAATTTGTTTTTCTTGAAAAAATTTTCTTAGCTTTTTTTTAAACGAAATAAATATTCTAAAGCTTCTACCTGACAATAATAATTAATAGTTAATTTTCCTTAATTGACTTAACTATTCGATTAATTCATACATTTGCTAATTAATTGTAATTAATTTATACCCATTGACCTATACTTTCTTAGAAGGAAAAATTCATGTATTCAAAATAGCGGGTTATTTTTTTTTATTATTATTTTCTTGAAGCAGAAAAAAAGTTGTATGTTGGATTTTCTCAATGTTTTCTAAACGAAATAAAGTTTTGATTTATAATTAATTTATACATTGACTGACCCATAGGAGATTTCAAAATCTCTATCCGATATTTTACAATTATGAAATTGCGTTAAAAATACATCCCCATTAAAAAAAAATAATGCCAAGAACAGCCAACGCAAAAATTTATAGTGGCATAAATTTAACTTACCTCACTCATTTGAGTTAAGTAATGAGTTACATTATCACACTAATTTACACATAAGCATGTTTTTCAGTTATTTAAATTACACTTAGCCGGTTCGCGCTTAAAATTTTGTATGCAACACATTATTGAATGAATACATTATCATACTACAACTTAAACCCACTCATGCAGTAGTAAACTTTTTTCTTCACTTGTGATGTAATCAATCTTTGGGCAGAAAATTATGCCATTATCTGTGTACTAAATTTATAATAATAACATTTCGTATATGAAATTTTGTTTTAAATTGTAAGCAAAGAGTTTTCTTGTGGAAAATATGAGAAATGGACCCTGAAATTCCAATTTGTTTTTTAACGAGTTAAATTATAAATATGCAACCAATGTTACATAAGTGAATTTTGTATGCAAACAATAAATTTATTTGTTTTTTACCACACTTTATTTTGAAAACACTTCTTGATTTAAACTCCATTGCTTAACCACTGCCAACAGTAATGTGCCATTAGACACATTTTTTTAAATGTCATTTTCAACGCATGCGCAGTTCAGTCTCCACGCAAAAAACTAACTCATGTTCTATACATAACTGTGAGCGTCTTTCCAAAATCCTGTAGAAGTCTCTTATGCAATTTCCGTTAAATTTAATTCTAAAAACACCACTACACCAATAAACACTACTATATACCCAGATGCTAAAGAATTAATTCCTTATTTTTTCTGGCATGTCCTTTATAAACAAAGCTAAAAAATAAAAAACAAGTAGTTCTTTGGAGTGTAAAACTTGCTTCAAATTTATATCTCCGTTGGACATAACCTCTGTTGATTCTAAAAAATCAATAATATTTCGTAAAAATAAGGCAATTATGATTTCATTAAAATCCATGATATGGCTACTCCATAATAAATTAATGAGAATATGTAAGTTATTAAAACCAAAATTTGCAAAATTCAGACCCACCCTAAACCGATCTGTCGCCATTTTATGGACTGGCCCAAAAGCCCTACTTACTTGGAGAATTGCGCATCATGTCATAAGGTCCCAGAGTCATATTCCCGGGCATTTTGCTGTTGCCCCCCATTGTCATCGGAGTTGGTTTCACTTCGTTCTTCACCATATCTTCCAACTTGAGTTTCGACTCCCGAGTCTCCTGGATAGCGGCAGCCGCAGCGAGATCCTTCCCACCACCTTCAACCCAGTCGTCAATCACACAAACCCAAAAAATCCAACAACCACTCACCAGGCACCTCAATCTTATCAGGATCCTCATCATCATCGAAATCGCTCCCCGACATGTTATCAAGTTCCTCGTCCATCCTGTTTCGCTTAGTCGTCAATTCAACTCTTCACAACTCTAATTCTGCAAGTTTTTCACTCGGTGAGAAGATTGAGCGAAGCTGCGATAAACTATTCATAACACAGCATGACTAATGCAAAGGGGCTAAATTTTTATTTTGCAGCAAATATGGCGCAAACCAACGCCCTAATCCCACAAAGCCGACCCGAACAAACCCAAACCGACCCAAATCCTCGCATATCAAGCCACCAAACCCCCCGAAACCGACCAACTCCGCAAGTTTTTTTTGTTTTTTGGTTATGAATTTTTAACAAAGCTTCGACCGCCGGAAAAAGAAAAAAACGCCGCCTTTTCGCCCAAAACTCACCCAACACCGCCCCCGCGTCCACGCCGACACCCAATCGCCCCCAATTAACGCGAAATTAACACAAAAATCAACAAAAATAAACACAAAAGTGACCGATTCAAGTCATGTAAAAAAATGACATTAAGATTTTTTAAAACGGGTTTTTGCGGGCATTCGCCGGGGAAATGCCGCGCTTTCACGTGAAAACGCCGCGAGGACCGATCACGAGCCGAATTAGAGTGAAAAAGTACTTACGTTCAGCTCACAACGCGGCATAATTCGATTTAAACTCGACGAAAATATGCACTGCCATACATACAAACGCCATTACCCATCATGCACTGCAGACTACCAACATTGATTTCTGGTGACAAAAGAATGCAAAAAGCACCAAAAATTTAGGGACTTCTTTCAAAAAATCTGGGGGGCGATCTAGGGAATTTCGGTTTGGGCGAATTGCGCGCCAGGTGCGGAATACAAAAAAAGGGACTATTGTGCGATGTTGGCCGCGCGGAATCGCCCCACGAGCCCCAAAAAACCGTCCGCACTGGCTTTTTGCCCGACGAGTTCGAACTAAGCGATAAGGAATCAGTCCGACCATAACCTCAATTTCGTGTCAAAATTCATCACCAGGTGCGTATTTCGCAAAATTGCGACTCTTGTGCAACATTACCGAGGCACAATCGCTAAACTGACTCATTTCTTTCAGTTGAAGCCTATCATTCGTTCGAGTTTGTGATAAATAGATCGAAGGGCAAGTGTTTCCTAACCTCAAAAATGTGGCCTGAAGTGGACAGGGCGCGGAGCGAAAACCGCCACGAGTTGGTTTTAGGGGGCGCCGACATCTCCCAACGCTTGAAAAAAGAAGGTCTAGATGCCAAAATTTTCGAACTAATTGGTTTGAACTACCTAGATATACATGAGACAAGTTTGGAAAATCTTCCAGACAATATTTCTAAACTATCAAATTTGCAGTCCCTCGTTCTCCATTCAAACAAATTCGAAAATTTCAACATTAACATCACACGTTTGGAGAAACTCAAACTTTTAGATTTGTCCAGGAATTGTCTTAAAGAAATTCCAGCTGAAATTACCAATTTATCCAACATAATCACGTTTAATTTCGCCAATAATAACCTAGAACACTTCCCCAAGCTAGTAAGTAACCGCAAATTAACTGTGTTAGATTTATCCAACAACAAACTAAAAACCTTCCCGGACGTTTGTTATGAGGAATTATCAAACCTCTCGGAGCTCAAACTCACTGACAACCAAATTGAGTCAATTCCGCCCGAAATTAAAAACATCGTCGCGCTAAAGGTGCTCGAATTGGGGCACAACCAAATTAAAGTCGTCCCTGGCGAGCTCGCGCTGTGTTCTAAACTCAAGACCCTAAACCTCAAAAACAACCCCATTTCCGACCGCCGTCTCCTAAAACTGATCGATCAATGCCGCATTAAACAAATCATCGACTATGTGAAAGCCCACGGCCCCAAAAGCGTGACCACCGCACCCCGTGACGACCAAAAAACCACAACTGAGAAAGATTCAGACAGCGACGAAGACAACTACAAACACACCATTCGTGTCCACACTAAAGACAGCCCCAAAATCGTCGTTAACGAAAGCGTGAAGTCCGTACGCGAATTCTTCGTGGGTTGTCTGGTAACTAATATCACCTTCTCGGAAGACAGCTTCAAAAAATTCATTCAAGTACAGAACAAACTGCACGAATCGGTGTGTTCAAAGCGAAATCTGGCGACGATTGCCACCCACGATTTCAACAAGTTGGTAAGATTTGGGTATTTTGGGTGTACTTGGGTGTTGTATGTTGAATTTTAGCCCCCTGGAGACTTCCAGTACACAACGTTGCCCCCCAATGAGCTCATCATTCACCCCCTTAACCGCACGACAACGATGACGGGGTCCGACCTTTTCACGAAACTTCAAACCGAAGCACACAATCTGCGTAAAGAAAAAAAACGCAACACGTACTCCGGGATACATAAATATTTATACTTGATAGAGGGGCACCCCAGGTACCCCTGTCTGCTAAACTCAGAAGGTGTGGTCATTTCGTTTCCACCAATCACCAATTCTGAAATTTCGAAAATCCATACCGGTACCAAATCAATGTTTATTGAAGTCACAAGTTCCGTGTCGCTTCACGCTTGTAAAGCCGCCATCGAAGCGCTTCTAAAAGAGTTGATAGTTTTAACTGGAGTAGACCTAGACGTTACGCAGATGCGTTCTGTGGACTCTCAAGGGGGCTTGAAAGTCGTGTACCCTTCAAAGACGGATCTGTGTTTCGAAGGGGGCGAAATCAAAGTCGTCAGGGACTAAAATTAACGTTTATTTATTGTTAGAGTAGGACTTCTTTTTGTATTCTACTTAATAAACGGTTTATATTCGATTGACTATTTGAAGCACACAGGAATGATCTTTGGTTGGGTTTGTTAAATGTTATTATTTGAGTTTGGAAGCCTCTTTACGTTCGTTTATGTCAATGATGGCGATGTTCTTTGACGCCACGACGAGATGAAGCAAGGAAATGCCGGATTTGACGATTGCTATGGGGGCTGATAGGTATAGAACGACCCGGAATAGCGATAACCCAACTAAAAAAGTGTCAAGTTTTAAAGTGACGTCTGCGCAAGTCTATACTTACTAAGAGTAGGTCCTTCAGTGAAGTATAATAAGTACAAAGAGGCATAAAAAGCCTCATTTCCAGCACACATCCAAAACAGAACTGTCCTGTTAGTGTAATAAATATTCATAATTGGATTTTCCGACATATCTATAAATTTATGACTAGACTTCCCCTGGAGAATAGACCTACAACCACAACTTAACCAACAAACTTATGACTAACCAATCAACCCACGAATGTAAATAAATCCAGTGACAAGCAATGTCAATGCAGCACGACAGTATGAACCAAAACATGTAATCGGGATAAAACTTCGCCAGGACCATACACAGCCCCATGGTCCCGCATCGGTCGGTCAGCTGGTCCAGCATGGCCCCAAACTTAGTGCTTTGATTGAAGTAGCGGGCCGCATGTCCATCGAAAGCGTCCAACAAAGCCGAAGTTACGTAGCAAACCACAGCTAGTACGTAGTTCGTTGGCATGTAATAGAAGGATATAAGGGCTAGAATAACTCGAGCGTACCCTAAAACATGATTGTGTGTTGAGGTTACACGAAAATCTAAACTCACCGATTATGTTTGGCACGAAGATGAAAACGTTTTCTGTGGTCATTCTGGTCGAGTTGGAGGCGGCTTGTATTGGAAATTGATTTTTTTTATTAAATTGTGGCGTGTTATAAATATTGCGTATTGGGAGATAGGCATTGATTACCTGTCAGTGCGCATCTGCGCATTGTGGGTTGCCTAACTTCGGATGAGTTGTCAATTTTTTGCGTATTAATAAAAAATGTAAACAATTAGGGGGATTGTTTGAACGCTCGGTGTTAATGTGGTGTTTGTTGCGTTTTATGGCTGCATTTATTTGTAATTGGGTTTTTATGTAAATTTTTCTGTTTATACAGAGTGTCTCATTGGTGCTGTCATAGTTAAAAAAAATGATTTCATAATTTATACAGACGCCAACGTAACAACATTATCATACGGTGCACGTGCGAGGTGCGTAGGCACGGGTATATACAGTGTGATTTAACCACAACGTTTGCAGTAAATTATTATTTAAACACTGTTATGTCAGTGAGTATAGATACATAGTCACTGGTTATGTTATAAATTGTATTGGTAATTGCGTATTTATTTGACCAATAAATCATGCTTTTCTATAGTGTCTCCGCGAAATATCTCCCATACTGGCTTTATTACCATTTTAAAGGTCAACCAAAACCGCAATTTATCTCACAAATGAACGTTTATTATGTTGATTAAAGTAGTTGGTATGCTGGAATGGGCAAGAAATGGCGCCGTCCGATCCTACCATGGAAATCAATATTCAAATGACTTTCGGGATTAAACTGTGCTGCGTAGTCTAAAGATGCAGCTAAAATTCAAAAATAATATACTGTTTTGTTTAATTATTTTTAGTTCCTGGGCGTAAGAAAAGTTAGGTTTGCGGTATGTTCGAATTTTTATTTAATCTCCGAAACTACTGGACCGATTGTTAAATGTCATCTTCAAAATTTACATATTATTTCAATTTTAATAAAATGAGATGCTTTTTCGCATGTGGTGCATTCCGTGTTCAGTTTTTACTCTAGACAAAATCACGTGATCGACCCAAACTCACTTATAATTTATGTAAATCCTATACAAATGTAAACACGTCCTCTTTCGTCTACTTGCCCTATGCTCATAATACTTTCACTTTCTCTTCCAGTTTCGAGAATTTTCTAAGCTCTTTGTTTACTGGCTTCCACCTCTCCAAAACCGAACCTACCTGTCGACCATTCAAACACCCTTTAAAACCTTCTCCCTCGAGCTACTGATTACCGTAAGCAACTAATGGTAAATCGTTAATCAAAATTTATTCGTTTATCCCCTTTCAAAACATTGATGACGTCATCTCAAAATTTTTCCGAATGAATCCTGTCTGAGATGTGTCAAATATTATGACTCGATAGCTGGGGTTTATCATTCCATCTCAGGTTATTTTAACGTAAAAGCAGGGTTCCCATAAAAAAATTAAATTTGTAAATTCAAGGCTTATAATTTTTCGAAAAATCTGTATTTACTTACCTTCGACCAATTTTTTGGTGCCCAATTTTTCGTTTTTCCGTTTTCTTTAATTTTTCAGTTTTTTCATTTTTCAATGCATATTTCAGTTACATAATTTTTTGTTTTCACTTTTTCGATTTTCAAGTTTCTCAGTTTTTAATATTCCAATTTTTCAAATTTTTTCAAGTTTTAATTTCCTACTTTTTCGTTTTTTATTAAAAATCGAAAAACCAAAAAATTGAACTGAAAAAACGAAAAACTCAACATCGAATAAGTGGAAAATGGAAAAATTGCAAATCGAGGCACTGAAAAAACAAATAAATGAAACATTAATAAAATAAAAATTGAGAAACTTAAAAATCGAAAAATAGGAAACAAGAAAAAACGAATCGAATCTATAAAATATAGAATCGTCAAAATTGTGAAGTCGAAAAACTGTAACACTGGAAGATCGAAAAATTGAAAAATCGAATAAGTGAAAAAGTTTTCAAATCCAATAATTGAACAATGGAAAAATTCTATAATCGTAAGATTCAAGGAAGCGAAAAATTTAAAAAATTATGATTATTCAAAAAGAAAATTAGAAAAATTTCAAATTAACTCAGGATTATCATAAAAAAATAAAATTCCCAAATTAAAATCTTATAATTTTTCGAAAAAATTGGTATCCTCCAATTTTTCGTTTTTCCATTTTCTTTAATTTCTCAGTTTTTTCATTTTTCAATATTTCAGTTTCATAATTTTTTGTTTTTCAACTTTAATTGTAAAAATTTTTCAATTTCTCGATTTCCAAATTTTTCAATTTTTCGATTTGCAGTTTATCAATTTTGCGATTTCTCGATACTACAATTTTTCATTTTTTGAAAATCTTATAATTTTTGGAAAAAATTGGTATCCTCCAATTTTTCGTTTTTCTACTTTCTTTAATTTCTCAGTTTTTTCATTTTTCAATATTTCAGTTACATAATTTTTTGTTTTTCAACTTTAATTTTAAAAATTTTTCAATTTCTCGAATTCCAAATTTTTCAATTTTTCGTTTTGCAGTTTATCAATTTTGCGATTTCTCGATACTGCAATTTTTCATTTTTTGATTTTTCACTTTCTCAGTTTCAAATTTTTTCGTTTTATTTTTATATTTTTCATTCCCTTTATTGCTTCGATGTTTCTTTCGTTTTATAATTTTTCGATTATTCGATTCTTCAATTTTTTTAATTTTTCAATTTTTCAATTTTGCAATTTTTGGATCTCTCAATTACGCGATTTTTCGATTTCTTTAATTTTCATACCTCAGTTTTACAATGTTTTGTTTTTTTGATTTTCAATTTTTCAATTTTTCGTTCCTTCAGTTTTTTAAGTTTGATTTCTAATTTTTAGATTTTCTCAAACTTTCATTTTATACTTTTTCTTTTTTTCTTTTTCGATTTTGCAGTTTTTTATTTTTTAATTTTTCCGAATAACAAAATGGAAAAATTGGAAAATTGGAAAATAAAAATTAAAAAAGCTAAAAAGTATAAAATGAAAAAAAATAAAAATTAAAAATCAACAACTTAAAAAATCAAAAAAACCAAACATTGTAAAATTGAGATATTGAAAATTAAACAAATCGGAAAATCGCCCAATTTTTTGTTTTTCTTTTTTCTTCGACGTTACAATTTTTTGATATCAGAATTTTTCGTTTTTTCATTTTCATTAATTTTTAAACTTTTCCATTTTTCAGTTTTTCGGTCTCATATTTTTCGTTTTTTGCAATTTTCGTTATTACAGTTTTTCATTTTTCGATTTTTCAGTTTCTCAATTTTTTATTTTTCGATTTTTCAATTTTTCGTTTCCTCAATTTTCCAAGTTGTTGATTTTCATTTTTCATTTTCCGATTTTTAAATTTTCATTTTCTTAATTTTTTCAATGTTTCTTTCGAATTTATAATTTTTCGTTTTTTCAGTTCTTCAAATTTTCTTTTTTTGATTTTTCAATTCCTAGATTTTCCAATTTTTAAATTTTTCAATTTTGCAACTTTTGGATTTTTCGATTATCGGGTTTTCAGACTTTTTTAATTTTCAATATTTCGATTTTACATTTTGTTCTTTCGATTTTTCAATTTTTCGTTTCTTCAATTTTTCAAGCTATTGATTTGCAGTTAGATTTTTCAAAGTTTTCATTTTATACTTTTTTGTTTTTTCATTTTTTATATCTCAATTTTACAATTGTGCAGTTTTTCCATTTTATTGATTCGAAAAACTGAAAAAACGAAAAATTGCAAAATCGGAAAAGTGAAAATCGAAAAAATGCAATTCGGAGAACTAAAAAAACTAAAAATCGAAAAGCTTAAAAACTAAAAAAAAATAATGAATCGAAAAATTGGAAAGCAGAAAAACAAATCAAATCGAAAAATTAGGAAATCCAAAAATTTTAAAATCGGCCAATTGTTGAATCCTCAAAATTGGAATATTGAAACATTGAAAAACTGAAAAATCGTGAAAATAGTTACGTATTATTACATATTTAAAATGACAAACAAAAAAAAATTAAAAAATCGAAAAATCCAAAAATTCAAAAATTTCGTAGTATAAAAAGATAAATTATAAAGTCAGAACATTGAAAACCGAAACGAAAAATTGCGAATCGAAAAACTGAAAAGTCGAGAAATTTTGAATCGAAAATTTGCAAAATTTAAAAATTGAAGGAACAAAAACATGAAAATTTTTAAAAAATCGCAAATCGCAAAATTGAGAAAATTAAAATTGAAAAAACAAGAAATTGCAAAATTGAAAAATTCAAAAAATAAAAATTGAACACAAATTGCAGAATCTAAGAACTTTGCAGTACAATAACAAGTTTTAAAGTCCAATTTATTGAAAAGTGGAAAAATTTTAAAACCGTAACATTGAAAATGAAAAATCTTAAAAATAATTATTATCACATATTTAAAATGACAAAACATTGAAAATCAAAAAATTGAAAAATCCAAAAATTCAAAAATTTCGTATTGAAAAAAAGATAAATTATATATATGTAAAATCAGAACATTGTAAAATAGAAAAATTGTTGAATCCTCAAAACTGTAAAGTCGAAAAAATGGAAAAATTTTAGAATCAAATATCTAGAAATTGAATAAATGAAAAAGTTTTAAAATTCAATAATTGAAAAATGTAAAAATTCTAAAACCGTAACATTGAAAGTGAAAAATCTTAAAAATTCAGTATTTAAAAAAGATAAATTATAAAATCAGAACATTGAAAAACCGAAAAACTGAAAAAAGAAAGAAAATAAAAACCGAAACAAAAAATTGCAAATCGAAAAACTGGAAAATCGAGAAATTTCAAATCGAAAATTTACAAAATTTAAAAATTAAAGAAACAAAAAACATGAAAATTTGAAAAATCGCAAATCGAAAAACTAAGAAAATTAAAATTGAAAAAACAAGAAATTGTGAAATTGAAACATTGAAAAATCGAATAATTGGAAAATAAAAAAAATAAAAAACCCAAAGAAAAATTTGCAGATTGAAAAATTCAAAAACTAAAAATTGAAAACTAAATTGCAAAATCTAACAATCGAAAGATTTTAATGATGGGAAATTGAAAAATTGAAAAATTTAAACTTGGAAACTCGAAAAATTGTAAAGTCGAAAAACTGTAATAGTGAAACATCGAAAAATTGAAAAATCAAATATCGAGAAATTGAAAAGTACAAAATCGAAAAATTAAATTTGAATAAATGAAAAAGTTTTAAAATCCAATTATTGAAAAATGGAAAAATTCTAAAACCGTAACACTGAAAGTGAAAAATCTTTTAAAATGGCAAACAAAAAAAAATCAAAAAATTCAAAAATTTCGTATTGAAAAAAAAGACAAATTATAAAATCAGAACATTGAAAAACTGAAAAATTGAAAAATCGATTAATTGAAAAATAAAGAAAATACAAAATCGAAACAAAAAATTGCACATTGAAAAATTCAAAAAATAAAATTGAAAACTAAATTGCAAAATCTAACATTCGAAAAATTCAAATGTTGAGAAATTGAAAAACTGAAAAATTAATATAAACTTGAAAACTCGAAAAATTGGAAATCGAAAAACTGAAGAAACAAAAAAAAAATAGAAAATTTAAAAATTCAACTCAAAAGTGCAGGCGTGTTATTTATGTCACTGATTTTTACTTTATTGAAGTTATATGAGCAAATTATTTTTTTATGTTGGATAAACCTTGATTTTTATACTTGTGGATACACCTTAATTTTTATACAATGAAAGAGAAATTAAGAAAAATTGTAAAACAAGGAAATATTTTTTTATATAATCAATTTGTTTATAATTAATTTATTGATCCTTTCGGCTCTGTTTCTTGTTCGTAGCTTATGTAACATAATTTCTTGCTATTCTAGAGCACGGAATTTTCAAGTTTCTTCAAGTAGGACTGTAGGAGAACAATTTTTTCCTTTTATTAAATTTGTTCTTGTTTTTGATGCGTTTGTAGTACTTGATGATGGCAACGTTTCGTCAATAGATATATTAATGTAGTTTCGAGGGTGATTTTTTCTTGTATTTATGAACTAAAGTCTATAAAGATATCTATTTCAAAAATTGGCTCAACTTCATCATCGAAAAAAAAAAAAATTGTTGTATTGTAAAAATTGGCCTTTAGGAATAGTCAGTTTAGGTTTTTCTAATAATATGATTTAAAGCAAAATAAAACTTTTTTTTTAAATAGGTGTAATTGAAGTCTATAATTTGTTGTTCTGCTTTTAAATTTTAAATTAATTAAGATAATTAACAGAATTTAAATAAATAAGAGTATGCAACTCACATTTCACGTCTCGAACCTGTACGTGTGTAAAATTATAATTTAGTAAAACCACCATACAGCCTTTTTGAGAATGAGAAAGCTCACGTCATGATTACCAAATCCGTGCGGTTAAAAAGTTCGATACGTTATCGTTTCTAGCCTAGGCGTTAAACGGACTGTCTGTTTATATAGAGAAAAAAAAATCATTTTTGTGCCATTTTCTAGAGCCGCCCCGTATATCCCTAAACCAGCAACCACCAAATTGACGTCACCTCCCCCGAGAAGTTAGGAACACGTCGGCGCATGCGCACCGTCAAGGTCGTTTGAAAATTTTTGGCAGGTTATCCGAAACCCCACGAAAAAATCGTCAAACCGGTCAATTACCCCATTTCCCCGTGCTCCGGCCGCAGCTCCGCGCCCGGCCTCCCGAAGCCCCCTTTCGGTCGCCCGGAGCGGCCCCCGTCCGGCGGTGTCGCGCCGTGTTGTGTCACGTGACGTCTCCGCTTGTCATTTTCGCGAATGTGTTGTAATGGCCGTCGGTGAAAATGTGGAAGTCTTCGCGTGAAAAATACGCCGCGACGCCCTCCAACGCCGCCGAAACGCCGTGAGAACGCAAAAACTGTGCGAAAAGTGCGCTCGGGCGAGGTCGGACCGATGTGACAAATGCTCGATCGCGATGCCCCTGTGAAAGAGTGCCCCCATAAAGTAGGCCGTGCTTGCGGAATGGCCCCCTCGCCGGAGAACGACTCCGCCCCCAAGGCCCCCGACAAGCCCCGGCACGACAAGTGCGCCAAGGAGAAGAACAAGGACGATAAGGTAGGTGGAGCGGCGGCTCGGGGGCCCCGCGGGCCCCCGGCGGCCCCTTTGCGCCGAAAAGTCGATATTCTCCCCAAAACCCCCCCATTGGTCGCACTGACAAATGGCTGACGGCGAGCGATGACGTGCGTGAATTTGCCCCAAAAAGCGCTCTTGTTCGCGGTGAACGGCCCCCCGGAGACTCCGGGTCGCGCCTCCGGTCGCTCTCGTCACCGTGTCGCGGTCGCACGCACTAACTAGGCCCCCTTGTCCCGGTTCCCACGTTCATATGACTTTTGACAGGTGACGTAGCAATTTTGGGCGTAAGCACTCATTTTTCCAAATGTGACGATAACGTGCTCAAAAATCGATCATCGATTGCAGACTCTGTCGGATTTGAACGATGGCGAGCTGAAGGGCTTGCTGGATGAGGCCCTCAACTACAAGAACCCGAAAGACAGGGAAGGGAAGAGCAAGCTCTTCAATCACCTGTTGAACGAGGCCGAGGAGGACGAGAGGAATGCGAGGGCCGCGCGGGCCGGGGGCTCCGAGCTAGTGCGCTACTGCAACCCTTCGGCCAAGCGCAACTCGAGGCACAGGAAGAAGCCCAGCTCTATCTCTGAGAATATGATGCACGGGGGCAGTCTCGACAACCTGGCCAAGGAGGAGTTGTTCGAGACGTCCAAACACAGAACTAAGAAGAGCGTGAGCGCGAGGCAACGGGAAGGGGGTAAGTAAGCCCGAATCTTACATTACAAAACTAATTTCGATTGAAGGGAGTCTTCCCTGTAACGTCAACGCGAGCACGATCATCAGCCATGATTACCAGTTCCTTGAAGAAGCCAGAAAGAAGAAGGAGATGGCGGAGAAAATCAGTACTGATGTTGTAGAGGAGCAGAGACTGCTCGAGCACGATACGCTCGACCAAAACTTCCAAGAGAAAGTAAACGAGCTCCCGCAGCTCAAATTTACCACTAGGGCCTCTCTTCAAGTCAGTAAGTAACTTTTAAACTTATTGCTTACGGTCTGAGTAGCAGGAACTTTTTGGGTAAAGGTTGGCCTTGAAAATGTGTGTAAAACTTGCTTTACCTATTGTAATTCAGGTTATTCTGTGGCGACTACAGTTACATTTTCAACCTTATGTGTAAATAATTCAGGTTGCAACCAATCAGATGCCAGGAAAACGTCAAATGACTTTTGGTGACGCCATTTTCTCTTAAAACTACTGAAAGTTGTAAGGATTTTCTAAAACGGTTAACTTTAGACACTTTATACTCACGTAAAACATATCTTGTACTTTGTATTTGTAATGATAATTTTGTATGAAGAACAACCTCTTGGTTCATATTTGAAATTTCGGTCTTTGCAGGAATTCTGTTGACTTATAAATATTCCAGGTTTTGAAATAACAAGTACACATTTACTAATTTTGTAAATAAATTCTTCTTTTAAGTTAAGTGGATTCACAATTGACATTTTCTGCGTCAAACAGTTTGTCCAACGTCGAAACGTTAAACCGCAGCCGCCTTATCCAACAAGTTCCTGAATGGATAGTAGTGGATGCGTTAGTCGTAGTAGGCATGGCTGTCAAAGTTATCGTTCGTTGTGGTTGGCACAATTGCACAATGAAATAGTTCCTATTATTTGCAAAAACTCTTCACACTCTATTTACTCTGGTCAAGGTGGATTTTTGTGTTAATTAATCAGGGTTTTTGCTCCTCCAGAGAGAAAATTATTTGTGACTAGATGTTTCAGAATACGGCGACATTGATCGAAATCGGACCGTGGAAAAGAAAGGGCTGCAACCGAGAGTACCCGTTTTCCATGTATTCATGTCTAGGGGTGGCCCTGATAGTAAGTACTCTTTTCCATTGTGCGATTTTGGCAAAAATTGCATCCATCATGCATCCATGGTTATTTTTAGTTTCGCGGTTGGTAGTGACGGAACGGCGAAGTCACTTGTCATCGAATGACATTTATTGCCGATTTTTATTTTATCATTAAAAATAATTGATTATAGCGAATGTCGGTGTTCGTGCTCGTGTTGAACCCTCATTACCCCTTGAAAAAACGATGAAAATGTGGTTTTCGTACGGTCACGCTCCCGACACCATTTTCAAATTGTCAACCGCACCTGGTAATTTTTTTTCACTGAAGTTTTTCGCATGTTTTATCGCAAAAGTGGTCGCTCGGCGATAACCCATCATTTAAGATCAAAGTAGGCGCAAATCATAATCTGTCAAACCAAAAAAACACAAAGAAAAAGTGAGGTTATGTGTCGAAAAATCGCCACCTGTTACACTTTTTTTGAAAGTAGAATTTTTTGTTTAGATGAAGTGGACGGCCCCATTTCGTTCCCACAGTTTGATCAAGCCGGCGAACGCAAGAACTGCTCCAGCACCAAGTCGGTCACCCCAATCATCGGATCTGACTGCGCCAGCACCCTGCGGATTTCCAACGACACCAAGGTAACACCTAGATTGTAACGAGCGCGATTTAATCGCCCCCGTTTTCAGAAAGTCGACGAGAACGGCAACGCCCTGCACCAGCCTTCCGTCAAAACGAAAAAGAAGAAACTCCAAACCGACAAGAACGTCGTCGTCTGCAACGCCGAGAACGTCGAGGGGCACCGCAGCGACATCATCTCCGACATCGACAAACTGATGGAGTTCATTGGGATCACGGACGACCAAAACGAGAAGCGTTCCATTAAGTCCAAGCAGCTGAATCGGCACTCCTCGGACGACACCAGCAAGTCGAAGAAGCGCGCCCACTCGTCCAAGAGCAAAGACAACCGGTCGAAATTGAAGAAGAGCAACTCGCTGGGTGAGATCTCGACGACCAACTTGGACGATTTTGAGTTCAACAAAGACAAGGTGGTTTTGCGGAACAATAAGAACAGTACGGACAAGCCGCGCGAAAGGCGGTCGTGGGGCAACATGGAGCCTTTGCCCCTGCAGAATCTGTACAGTAACGCTTCGGCTGAAAACTTGGAGAGCGCGGAGTTCCGCGTCGTCACTAAGAAAAAGAAGAGCAAAAAGCGTCGGAATTCGATCAGCGGCAGGACGAAGGCGTCGGCGAACCCCACGAAGACGGCCACGAGGGGGCCTTCGCCCGAGTTGCGGAGGAAGTCGGCGTGTTCGGTGCCTCATAGCGAGAAATCTAACGATTCCTCGGACGTGGACTCAGTTCATTCATTGCCTATTGATACTCAGAGGCTTGATCTGGCGACGGCCCGCTTGAACATGCCGATTTCGTACGCCGAGATGGCGAAGAACAGCGACAAACCGAAGGAGAAGAAGGTCGATAAAGTGCCAAAAGATGAGGTTAAGTGCGTCTCGAACCAAATCGTGTGTGATTATATTAAAATGAACAACGTCGATACGAGTCCTAGTGCTAAAAATACACCACCCGATGTTCATAATATTAAGAATTTCCCGGCGATTACTAAACAAGTTGCGGTGCAAGTGAACGTGGACAAAACGAAAAACAGCAATAAAATTAATAGGAACATAAACGCTAACAAGAACGTTAAAAATAACGTGAATAAAACGACGGTGGGGTGTGGGACGGAGAATAATTTACAGAACGATCATGGGGTGAGTATTGTAGGGGGGAGAAGTGAGGTTATGTTTTTTGCGATGATTTTTGCAAATAATTGTCATTGGTGGGTTTGACGGTTGTGACGTAAATGACGTTTGAGACAACGACCACTTGATTCCATTTTTAGTTTGACATTTATTTGTTGGATTTTACGTCGTTTCAAGAATTTCAAAGAGAAAGTGTAAAAGTTGGTTTTTTGCAAAGAACCTGAAAGAATGAGTCATTTTCAGTGACTTTAAATCACAAATGTCATGACGTGCAATATTCACTTCCAGTGTAACAAAGTTATAACATTTTAATTACCGAGGAACTGGTTTGGTAATTAATTAATTACTTCTATAATTATTTTACACTCGACGTTCTAGAAAACTAATTAAGTATCATGTGCGTTTAAAAAATTCCGTTGCTTGAAATTAATACATAACGTTACTCAGCAGTTGATAATTTTGAGTCATCTTTGTAATCTGAAGTTCATTATAAGTGTAATTGGAGTATTTTTTTTTTTAGATAAAACGGAAATGAGAAATCGGTCGTGTTGTTGAAGATATGGTTTACGATTTTTTTTTTTTTTTTTGCTATAGAATGCCTAGGTTTATTATGCATGAAGTGTAAAAGTTGATTAAACAGTCCATAATATTGCAGAAATGTTTCACAGTAATTTAAATCTGAATCTTGTGCAATGATGAAATGTGTTGTGGTCTGTTGCAAACTTCAAGGATGTTCACTCACTATTTTGCGTTTATTTCAAAAAAATAATTGCGGTAACGTGATTTTTTTTCCGCAATTAAACTTTATAATTTTATCCTTTTACTCGTTATACAAATCTTGAATGATTGATTTTCATAATATGGTGGGCGCAGGATTTTATGCTGAGAAACGACCATAAAATGTTGACGTTTATATTGCGTAACATTAATCAAGTAATAGATGCTTTTAATCCCAGAAAATATAGTGAAAGGTTGTATATTTTTATAGCCGTAACATTTTTCGACGCATTAAACGTGGTTATCTTGTGAAAAATTTGTTTTTGACGTTGATTTTGACAACATTTTGATTTTTATTCGAATTTAAGACACTGCAAAACTACTGGACTGATGTGATGTAATAAATCCTACCAAAAAATGGATGACGTCCCAAAATTTTGCTGAGTAAATATTACATAAAATATGGAAAATAATGTACTTATCTTGGAAACTACAGAATCGTATACCTATGTAAATAATGAGCGAGAAAACATTTTTTATGTTCGACTCCGCTATATGGTTTTTAATAAAAGATTCGTGTTTTTATAGTCATTTTTATAGTCTTTGGGGAATAATGAATTTTTTATGCAATTTTAAGTGGCACTCTCGAAAATTTTCCAGCAACGAAAGTAAGAGTAGAAGTAATAGTTTGACAAAGGTAGTTTATAAACGTCTTTAGATACTCGTTTTTTAAACACTCGCTCCGCTCGTGACTAAAGCGACGTTTATAAAACTTGTTGCATAACATTGCGGTGTATGGTTTTTAATTAAAGAATAATGTTTTTAAATTCATTAATTCATAACCTACCTCTCGAAAATTTTCAAATAAACCCTTTAATAGTATTATGACCAATGATTTATGAGGGGGAGGTCCAGGACGATGTACTCGAGTCAAATTAAAGAGGTCGTAAATTTTCATAAAACTGACCATTGTACCCCTTGTATTTTACCACTAAGTCAGCTACCTGCAGCATACCCTTAATTCCCATTTTATCTACCTTTCCCTAATTTAGCTTTGTATAAACGGATGCCGTCGTGTTCCATGAACTGGCCTTAGAAAGTATTTATTTGTTTCTATAATCCCTGTCTAACTTAGGCCGGGTTAGTTCACCAATATTCACTAATTTCCTTTCAATAACCGTATGGCCTATCAGGTAGGGGAGAGGGGGCGAGAAAGAAAATTTTGTACAGAAAAACATGTTGGGATTGCTTGTTATTTTCATCTGAACAGTACACGGTGTATTTGACTGTCTTTCGTCGACTAAGCATTTTGTATGTGGCGGTTTAATAAGACGACTAACTGACTACTTTTTTCTGGTGTAGTTGTGTTTTTAGTGAATAAGTTAGTGTAGCGAATTAGATTTTAGAAGATGCGTGAATTAGTGGTAAGTTTTAATCGAGTCCATCGGGCGACTTGCCAATTTCATGTTTTCTCGACGTCGCATAATCTCTAGAGTACGAAAAAAGTAGGTCTCCCGTTTCCATCTGTGTGTCTGCCTGCTGTTTGTCCGGATTTTTATTAGACAGATTATCTCCAAATTTTACAGTAATAAAAAATCTTAATTAAATTTTATAAAATAACGTACTTTTCCATTTTTGATTTATGGATCGGTGTGGAGTTTTACCTTGGGCATCTAGATTTTTGAAAAAAAAAAAAAAAATCAAAATAGTATAACATTTTACAGATCAATCGGTTTGATATCATGCAAACCGTTTATTTTAAGGTTTTCGGAAGCGTGGTAAATTGTTGATCAAAATTTATTCATTTATCCCTCCTCTCCTCAGGAATTGATGATGTCAGCTTACAATTTTGTAGAATAAATGTTATTTAAATGTTAAAAAGGAACATAGTCCTCAAATTGTGCCTTGTGAATGAATTCGTGTTGAATCTTTAGTCTAGACATGGAGATTTTTGGAAATAAATCAAAATATGTAACAATTTTTCTATTTTTTGGCTTTTCTATTTCTCGATTTTTCAACTTTTGATTTCTCAGTTTTTCGATATTGCAGTTTTGGAGTTTTTCAGTCTTTCAATTTTTCAGTTTCTCGAATTTCGATTTTTTGATTAATACATGTATGTACTTAATTTTTTTCGATATTTGAGTGTCGAGATTCTTCAGTTTTTCGATTCTTCAAATTTTCAATTCCTCGATTTTTTCATTTTTCATTCTTCGTTTCATTTTTAAATATTTCGAATTTTCAATTTTTGACGATTCTAAATTTTCGGTTTTTGGATTTCTGCATTTCTAAATTTTTCGATTTTGTGGTTTTTCGACTCTTCAATTTTTCGATCTTTCAAGGTTTTGATTTTTCGATGTTTCAGTTTTGAGATTTTTGAATTTTTTCATTCTTTAATTTTTCTTCGATTTCTCGATTTTTCAGTCGTTCGACATTTCAATTTTTCAAATTTTAAATTTTAGATTTTCGACTTCCCTTTTAGATTTTTGGTTTTCCAATTTTACGATTTTTAGAATCTTTGGTTTTTCGATTTCTCAATCTTGTGATGTTTCGTTACTCGGGGTTTCAGTTTTTCAAATTTCGATTGTTCAACTTATCGGTTTTTCGACTTACGATTTTTCAGATTTTCAATACATATTTCGATTTTTCAGTTTTTCGATATTTCTGTTTTTCAATTTTTCGAATTTTTAAATTTAAGGTTTTCAGTTTTTTGATGTTTCGATTTCTCGATATTTCGACTGGTCGGTTTTAAATTTTCGGTTTTTCAATTTTACGATTTTTAAGATTTTTGATTTTTCAGTTTTGCGATATCTCTCGATTTATCGAGATTTCGATATTTTGATTTTTCGATTTTGGACGATTTCGATTTCTCAATCTTTTGATGTTTCGTTACTTGATGTTTCAGTTTTCCAAATTTCGGTGTTTCGGTTCTTCGACTTATCGGTTTTTCGACTTTCAATTGTTCGATTTTTCAGGTTTTTGATTTTCCTATTTTTTAAATTTTCGACTTCGATTTCAGGCTTTTCAAATTCTCGATTCCTTAATTTTTCAATGCTTCAGTTTTGGGATTTTTTGATTCTTCAATTTTTCGTCGATTTTTAAATTTTAGATTTTTCAGTTTTTTGATGTTTCGATTTTTCGATTTTTCCACCTCTCGGTTTTAGATTTTCGGTTTTTCAATTTTACGACTTTTAAAGTTTTTGATTTTTTGATTTTTCAGTTTTGCGATTTCTCGAGGTTATTTTTATTTGAAATTTTTAACTTCGATTTTTCGATTTTGGGCTTTTTAGATTTCTTAATTTTTCAATTTTTCGACTTTCGATTTTCCAATTCTTCGATGTTCCGATTTTTCATTTTTCGATTTCCCAATTTTTGGTCATTTTAATTTTGGAACTTTTGAATTTCTCGATTTTTCAGGTTTTTAATTTTTCAAGTTTTGTATTTTTAAAATTTTGGATTTATCGATTTTTCGTGTTTTCGATTTTTTAATTTTTCCATTAAATTTTAGATTTTTCAATTTGTCGAATTTTTGATGTTTCAGTTTTTCAGTTCGCTTTTTCAGTGTTTCGAATTTTTAAAATGATTTTTCAATTTTACGATTTTTTTTATTCGATTTTTAGATTTCTTGATTGTTCATTTTTTCAACAGTTCAATTTTGGGAGTTTTAAAAATTTTTCGATTTTTTGATCTTTCGATTTTTCAACTTCGGTTTTTCTTTTCAAAGTCTCGATTTCTCAATTTTTCGATGTTTAAGTTTTGGGATTTTTGAATTTTTTTATTCTTTAATTTTTCTTCGATTTTTTCATTTTTAGATTTTTCAATTCAATATTTCGATTTTTAGGTATTTCGATTTTTCAATTTTTCCAATTTTTCAATTTTAGATTTTTCAGTTTTTTGATGAATATTTCGACTTCTAGGTTTTGGATTTTCGGCTTTTCAATTTTACGATGTTTAAAATTTTTGATTTTTCAATTTTTCAGTTTTTGATTTCTCGATTTATCGAGATTTCGATATTTTGATTGTTCGAATTTTCGAGTTATCGATTTTAAAATTTTTTTCCACTTCTCGGCTTATCGCGTTTTCAATCTTTTGATGTTTCAGTTTTTCAAATTTCAATGTTTTGATTTTTGGACTTTCCGGTTTTTCACTTTTTCCGTGTCCCAATTTTTCGTCATTTCAATTTTAGAATTTTTCAGTTTCTCGATTTTTCAGTTTCCTGATTTTTCAGTTTTTCCACTTTTTAATTTTTGTATTTTTGGGTTGCTGGGTTTTTTGATTTTTTAATTTTTGCAATTTTTAAATTTTTGGATTTTTCAATTTTTGCAATTTTTAAATTTTTGGATTTTTCAATTTTTCCAATTTTTGATGTTTCAATTTTTCAGTGCTTCGATTTTTCAGTTTTTCTAAATTTAAAAAATTTTTGATCTTCAAATTTTATGATTTTTTGATTCGATTTCTTCGCTACTCGGTTTGTCGATGTATAAAATTGTTCAACTTTCTCGGTTTTTCAAGTTTTTAATTTTTTGAGCAGTTCAATTTTGGGAGTTTTTCAATCAATTTCGCGATTTTTCAATTTTTTTGATATTTTAGTTATTCGATTTTTTGATGTTTTGATTTTCAACTTCTTAAATTTCGATTTTTTCGATTAAAATTTTTCATTTCAATTTTTCCATTTTTTAAATTTTGGATTTTTCGCTTTTCATCTTCGATTTTTTAATTTTTTCAATTTTTGAATTTTGGATTTTTCCAATTTTCTAATTTTTGCTGTTTGAATTTTTCAGTTCTTCGATTTCTTGATTTGAAATCTTGGCATCTCGGTTTTTAGATTCATAAAATTGTTCGAGTTTTCGATTTTTAAATTTCTCGATTTTTTCAAGTTTTTGATTTTTTATTTTTTGAACAGTTCAATTTTGGGAGTTTTTCATTCACTTCCTCGATTTTTTCGATTTTTTCGATTATTGATATTTCGATTGCTTAACCTTTCGATTTTTCATCTTTTCCGATTTCGATTTTTTCGATTAAAGTTTTTGATTTTTCGATTTTTCAGTTTTTTGATTTCTCGCTTTATCGAGATTTCGATATTTTGATTGTTTGATTTTTGGAGTCACGATTTTTTTAATGTTCCGATTTTTTAACTTCTTTTCTTTCCGATTTTCAATCTTTCGTTGTTTCGTTTTGTTTCGTTTCTCGATGTTTCAGTTTTTCAAATTTCAGTGTTTTGATTTTTGGACTTTTCGATTTTCCAATTCTTCAATGTTCCGATTTTTCACTTTTTCCATGTCCCAATTTTGCCATTTTTAAAATTTTTGGATTTTTCGATTTCTCGGTTTTTCGATTTTTCAGTTTTTCTAATTTTAAATTTTTTGTTTTTCCAATTTTACGATTTTTTAAATCAATTTTTTGGCATCTCGGTTTTTCGGTTTATGAAATTGTTCGACTTTTCAATTTTTAAATTTTTAGATTTTTCGACTTCTCGATTTTCGATTTTTTCAATTAAAATTTTTGATTTTTCGAGTACTTTTTTTTCAATTTTTCTATTTTTGCTATTTTGGATTTTTCGATTTTTCGTCTTCGATTTTTAAATTTTTCCTGTTCTTAAATTTTTGTTTTTCCAATTTTACTATTTTTTGAATCAATTTCTTAGCGTCTTGGTTTTTCGTTTTATAAATTTTTTCTCGATTTTTTTAACTTTTTTATTTTTCATTTTTTCTATATTTTAATTTTTCGATTTTTCGATTTCTCGAATTTCGATTTTTTAGATTAAAATGTTTGATTGTTCGAGTACTTTTTTTTTAATTTTTCTTTTTTTTTTGATATTTTGGAGTTTTCGATTTCTCGGTTTTTCGATTTTTTAATTTTTTCGGTTCTTAAATTTTTTATTTTTCAATTTTACAATTTTTTGATTCGATTTCTTGGCATCTCAGTTTTTCGACTTATAAAATTGTTCGACATTTCGATTTTTAGATTTCCCGATTTTTCAAGTTTTTGATTATTCATTTTTTCAACAGTTCAATTTTGGGAGTTTTTCAGTCTATTTCTAAATTTTTTCAATTTTTTCGATATTTTAATTTTTCGGTTTGTTGATTGCTGGATCTTTTAATTTTTTAATTTTTGATTTGTCAGTTTTTTAATTTCAATTTTTCGATTTTAAATTTCAATTTTTGATGTTTTAATTTTTCAATTCTTCCATTTTTCAGGTTTTCGAACTTTTAAATTTTTGTTTGTTTTTACAATTTTTTGATTCGATTTCTTGGCATCTCGGTTTTTCGATTTATAAAATTGTTCGACTTTTCGATTTTGAAATTTCTGGATTTTTAAATTTTTTTATTTTTTGTTTTTTCGATATTTTAATTTTTCGATTTTTCGACTTCTCGGAAAAATGTTTGATATTTTGAGTACTTTTTTAAGTTTTCTATTTTTGATATTTTGGATTTTTCGATTTCTCGGTTTTTCGCTTTTTCGTCTTTTCGATTTTTTAATTTTTTCAGTTCTTAAATTTTTGATTTTTCAATTTTACAATTTTTTGATTCGATTTCTTGGCATCTGTTTTTCGATTTATAAAATTGTTCGACATTTCGATTTTTAGATTTCCCGATTTTTCAAGCTTTTGATTTTTCATTTTTTCAACAGTTCAGTTTTGGGTGTTTTTCAATCAATTTCTAAATTTTTCAATTTTTTCGATATTTTAATTTTTCGGTTTTTTGATTGCTAGATCTTTTGATTTTTTAATTTTTGATTTGTCATTTTTTTTATTTCAATTTTTCTATTTTAAATTTCAGATCTTTCAATTTTTTCGATTTTTGATGTTTTTAATTTTTCAGTTCTTCGATTTTTCACGTTTTCGAACTTTGAAATTTTTATTTGTTTATTTTTACAATTTTTTGATTCGATTTCTTGGCATCATTTTTAAATTTTTTCGATATTTTAATTTTTCGGTTTGTTGGTTGCTGGATCTTTTGATTTTTTAATTTTTGATTTGTCAAATTTTTTAATCCAATTTTTCGATTTTAAATTTCAGATGTTTCAATTTTTTCAATTTTTGATGTTTTAATTTTTCAGTTGTTCGATTTTTCACGTTTTCGAACTTTTAAATTTTTGTTTGTTTATTTTTACAATTTTTTGATTCGATTTCTTGGCATCTCGGTTTTTCGATTTATAAAATTGTTCGACTTCGATTTTTGGATTCCTGGATTTTTAAATTTCTAGATTTTTTCAATTTTTTCGATATTTTAAGTTTTCGGTTTGTTGATTGCTGGATCTTTTGATTTTTTAATTTTTATTTGTCAATTTTTTTATTTGAATTTTTCGATTTTAAATTTCAGATGTTTCAATTTTTTCAATTTTTGATGTTTTAATTTTTCAGTTGTTCGATTTTTCACGTTTTCGAACTCTTAAATTTTTGTTTGTTTATTTTTACAATTTTTTGATTCGATTTCTTGGCATCTCGGTTTTTCGATTTATAAAATTGTTCGACTTCGATTTTTGGATTCCTGGATTTTTAAATTTCTAGATTTTTTCAATTTTTTCGATATTTTAAGTTTTCGGTTTGTTGATTGCTGGATCTTTTGATTTTTTAATTTTTATTTGTCAATTTTTTTATTTAAATTTTTCGATTTTAAATTTCAGATCTTTCAATTTTTTCAATTTTTCATGTTTTAATTTTTCAGTTCTTCGATTTTTCACGTTTTCGAACTTTTAAATTTTTGTTTGTTTAATTTTACAATTTTTTTATTCGATTTCTTGGCATCTCGGTTTTTCGATTTATAAAATTATTCGACTTCGATTTGTGGATTTTTAAATTTCTAGATTTTTTAAATTTTATCGATATTTTAATGTTCGATTTTTTAATTTTTCGGTTTATCGATATACCGCGGAATTTGCGGGATTTTTCAGACTATATCTAAAGGGCGAGGGAAGTTCTGTCGAAATAATTTTCGACCAATTTCTCTTTTTTTTTCGGGCTTAAACGAAAGTAGTCCATTTGATGAATAACCAATGTAATATTTTTCTAAGATCATAATTTTCAAAACTACTGGACTGATTGTTGTGATATTTTACGTGCATTTTAAGAATATCGCATTAAGTAGAAGCAATCAATTAATAAAGGTAGTTTAAAAACACTCGCTTTTTAAACACTTGCTCCGCTCATGATTAAATAAACTCGTGACTAAACTGGCGTCTATAAAACGTATTACATAAAATAGCTATTATGTTGGACAATAATAATTTTTACGATTTCCAACAATTGTGAACTTTAATAAATTTTACTTTTGACAAATCCATAACTAGTCCGATCCGTTATCTGAACTAAGCGCAACTCATTGCATTAATTTATCTCAATTTTGTCATTGAAATTCCTAGTTATCTTGAGCTAAAACGGGAACGCTATCGTGAAATCGCAGACGTGTGTTTTACTGCTGGTCATAACAAAAGTGGGCGTTAAATTAAACACGATCCAGACTTGTATCAAATAATCCATAAAGAGAAAAGTCACAGAACGCAAATACAATTCATAAAGGTGATATTCTCATACCAACGACCAGTCATTTAAATTTTAATGTGCCGCTTTAATAAATCGAGGATTTGACTACACATTATGTGAACAGTGCAATTAACGACCTAAACTAGCACTAACATAAGTGCGTCAATTCCATAGGTTGTTAAAGAAATTTCGACCTTATCAACACAATTAATCATATCGCGCGTACCGCTGTAACAGTAATTATTCATGTACTTGTATTAATGCAAGTGGTTTGACGTTTTCTACCTTTCTACGACAAATTGATTTTTTGCATGTCTGTATATTGCGTCTGTCCGGCGAATGACTACTTTTATGTTTTATTTTGAGTATGAAGAAGTAGGTCCCCCGTTTCCGTCTGATTTTAATTACTTTACATAGATTTAATTTTGTTATTTTTTTGTGGCAGATGCCGCCGCCCCACGACCCCCCCGAACTGGGCTACAGTTCATCGTTACCACCCGACATCCCCGACGTCCAGACCATCGAAAAGATGCAACTCATCAACCAGGGCCACCACACGGCGGTGGCGTCGAACCTGAACTGCTACGACCCGAGCCCCCTCCTAAACAACGGCAATGACTGTAGTATAGACTGTGATATAAGTGAAAACCGAACTAGCGTGGACCTGCGGCCGCCCGTCGTCATTCTGAGCGGTTACGGTAACAGCAAGGAAGTGCCCGGTTTGGTGTTCGGTTTCGACATAAACGAGCAACTCTTATCCGAAGACAACAAGGACTTCTGCTGCGAGGACTTCATTTCGAGGTACGTCCCGCCGGAGGCGTACACCACGACGTCGCACAACCACGACAAGATCGTCAGCTACATCGGCGCGGGTGAGTAGGCGGAGCCAGCCGACTAGAGGGCGGAGCTAACTTTCTGTTTGTTGCAGCTTGGGACGAGGCGGTGGTGAATATATCGAACGGTAAAGTGCAGTACTATTCGGATTTGTTGTAGGCGTGTACATACTAGTCAGGGGTGGAGTGCGGTAGTGCAATTTGGAGGACACGGGAACAATAAGCTAAGTTTAATTTCTCGAAATTAGGGGTGAAACTTATTTATTTGAGTTATTTATGGGGGGTATCGAATTTAAGCTAAAATTCTATAAATATGTAAAAAAAAATGTAACATAGCAGTGTAATTGTACCAAATTGTAGGCTTCTCCTTCAACTAAAGACGCTGTGCATACATTTAGGTGATTAGCAAAGTTGGACACTCGTTTCATCGCTGTAGCGTTTGTATTATAGCTTATGAAGAAGAAAAAACTAAATAAAAATGTTTGATGTATATTAGACATAAATATATAACGATTTTAAGTGGCGTATTGTAACGTTTGATTTCGGTTGCATTTATTAGCAAGATATAACTTCTGGAAATTGTGAGTAGAAACGTGCCAATACGCCAGATTCATTTAAATAGATATCAAGTTAAAGTTGACTCTTTAACAATGTTTATTTATTCGTTTTTTTTTTGTGTGCGAGGTTTTACTATTTGAAACTCAAACTTTCAAACAGTAACAACTACGAGGCGCAGTAATAAATGTAACATAGTTGTATTAAAAGCGAGCTAAGTCATTTAATTTAGCTGTTATTAGACTTTTTTTCGAAATTTAGACAGTCTAGCTAGAAAGGCGCTAGATTTTATACCGATGATAATTGAGAAGTATCAGTCGACCACTCCAACTCACGAGTTGTCGATTCTTTTTCGTTACATTGTTAAATCATTTATTTTCCGAACCGCTTTGTACTTACGAAGTTGGAAGTTAATAAGTCTCTCTTTCGAGTAATTTTATAGTTTGTATTTGATTCTTTAAAATTATTGTTACACTTTTAAATATGTTTACCATGAACAGAATTTAAATATGTTCATTGCTTTGATAAAAATATACGATTATTTATTCACACCCTGTATTGCTTACACTTGATCACCGGGTATACTACGACTGGCGAGCGAAAGTGGCGCCACCTACACAAAACACCCTCGACAAGCTTAAACCTATTGATACCCAATCCCCACAAACGACACCCATTAAACAAACAGTGTTCTGATATACCGTGTGTTTTTTTAATCAATTCAAGTAATAATAACGATACAGAAACTGCAGAAACGAAATAAAAATTACACCGACGGTGGCGCCACCTAGAATGACAACTTTGACATTTGACATATCTGGTCTGGTGGGTGATTTACAACTGCGATTTTATGGTAGTAACGTCCCATTTGGGGTCCATGGAATCAATGGGTTCCCTCATGGTATGCTCAATGAACTCGACGTTGCACTTATCGTCAACCAAAACCACCGAGTGTGTTCGCGTGCCATAACCTCCATCTTTCATGTTGACATAAATCGAACTCAAAAAATTAATCCCTCCAGGGGCTCTCCTCTGCAGTTCAGGATCAGGTAAATGCAAGTCTTCACACTTCAACAACCCCACTAATTTATCGACCAATTCATCTCTCCCCGTACTCTCATTGATAATTTTCTCAAATTTCGCCTTCCCATTTGTGACTTTCGTGAAAGGTGCGTCTGGTGTGCTGTTCCCGAAAGCCAAAACTTGTCGCCCGACGTAGTCATAAGTGGCCTGTGGGGAGTTGCTGTGGTGGTACGTACAGGACTCGTCTTTGGTCACTTCCATCATGACTAAATTGAAAGCGCTATATTTACCCCCTTGCAAGTTACTAGCGTATTCCGCAGCCGTCTGGTCGGTCTTCAAGTAGTCGAAAACGAGGGGGCCCCGACCCAACGTGGCCGGTTTTTTCTCCCCCGTCACGTTTAAAAGCGTGGCGAATTTGATCACCGGTGGTTTTAGCGACAGCCCCAGCCACATGCCGCCTTCGCGCCCCGGCTCCATGTCTCTACCTGTAACCCCGTTTCACTAATCTGTCAAAAAGTTGCCAGTTTTACCTCCGATGATGTCCGTGTCCGCGCATTTGAACGCCCCCTTAGCCGGTCTTTTGTAGAACTCGTCTCGGTTCGACGCCACGACGAGTCTGTAGCCCCCTTGGGGCGGACTGGGGTTCGTATATATAAATAAGATGCACATCTTCAGTCACTGACCCCTCAGCTTTGATTAATTTAAATTGTACTCAGTTCATTGTTATCACGTGGTCAAAGTAAACCGGGCCCAGATAAGAGGATCTCTGACCATTGTTTCCATCTGTTATTTAAAAAACCTTAACTTTGGAAGTGGAATTATGTCAAGGCTCAAGGTTAGGTTACGTCATAACCTCAAAGTCTCAGGGTCAGAAGAGACCATGAAATGGGTGCAATTTCGATTAAGTGGAGTGGTTTCAGTGTTGATTTTGTGTAATTTGGTATTGGTAGCACGTAGGGTTAGGTAAACATGGACGACATTGAGTTGGAGGGTGAGCATTGAGTGTTTTTGGATTGTTTGGGCAAATGTTGACTTTGGGTGCTGATAAGAGGCGTTATCGGGGGGTTTGGAGAGTCAATATTTGGCTCGGTGGGAGATAATAGACGTGTTTAACTTCTTGTGTTATCAGATGTTATCATTGATTTTGGGAGCAAATAGTTGTAAACAATGGGTTTTGTGTTTGTAGTTACGCAACCAGTAATACACGGGTGCTCTAAATGTGGAAAATTGATAGTGATCAGTTTATTTTTGCGAATTTTATCGGGAACCGCGAGGACGTTGAATCCACTTATGATAAGTTGATAACGCACATGGTAATTTTAGGTCACTTTTTTATTTATATTTGTATTAGCAATGGAAAAGTACTTACGATATTTAAGTACAAACACATTTGGTAATAATTCGTTTGTGAAATTATTTCTGGTTATCATATGGAAAATAAAGTGCGTTCTAACATATAATATAACGCCTCTTTAGTATTATTTTTGCGATCTTGAGATAAAAATGTCCCCGACTGCATTGTTAAGTAAATCCTACCGTAAATGTGCACTATATCATGCTGCATTATTTGTGTTTAACTCATTTAAATTTATTTATTTATCCCCCCGAAATATTGATGACGTCATCTGAAAATATTTTTAAATTTAATTGTCCTATTTTTTTTTAATAACTTTCGCTTCTGCGAACAGAATAAATTCTTAATTAAGTGGATTTCGCAATAATCTTGTGGCAAAGTTTATCGCCAATCTGAGTATCTACCAATCATAGCGATTATTGTGCGTCAATAAAATTTGCTAAAACTTAGTAATAGTGATAATAATATAATTATCTGGGAAAAATTACAGTACTTTTTTTTAAATAATGCTTATCCGTTCGTGATAATCTTATAAAATATAATCTGACCTTAGTTGTTGCTTTGATTATTTTAAATTGTGCTAATTATTTTATTTTTAGAACGTGAAAATTGCCAGGAAATGTGGTAAATCGCTTAATTAACGTTAATAATGTGGTATGTCTCACGTTATTGAGAGAACAACGAACACAAATTTGTTACAAAATATGTTTATTAGCTTGTTGATAATTCAATTATTAAACAGAACGTTGTAAGTGACGTCATTCCTAAGAGATCTATTTTGTGTTTTCCGTGAAATTTAGGCGATAAAACGAAGTGATAATGGCTTGAAATTTAGAGTAGATATGATAACACTTAGCACCGTTCAATTCATAATATACACATAAAAGTTTGAACAAAAGGAAACGGATGAAGAGACAAAGTTCAAGAGTTAAATGTTATCAAATTTATCCATATTTCTTGCAACATAAAACTGTAAAAACCTATGTTTTTTGATTCAGCACTTCGAAGTCTTTGTCCCAGAATTTTTTGAGGATTTTTGGACAACTTTTTCAAAACCAACATTTTTCGCTATGAAAATTTTTGTAATGTTTCGGCCAGAAACTTAACGATCGACATTTTCTTGAACATTTCGTCCTCCAGAAGTTCATGTCGGCCTCGTTTCTTCAATAAGTTCTACCATTTTTCCAGAATCGCCCACTGAAATATAACATTTTTTTGAATTAAAAAAGATATATGAAAATTTTGGACCATTTTTGAAACTGAACCAAAGACATTTTGTTGACATTTTGGCCTCTAGAAGGTCCTTTCAACCTCATTTCTTCGATAACTCCTAGCATTTTTCCAAAGTTGACCATTGAAAAAAATTGTATTTTTATTATATTTTTCAATATGAAAATTTTGGATTTTTTTAACCACATTTGAAACTTAACCAAATTTGTACATTTTTTGTACATTTTAATCTGCAAAAATTAATTTAAGCCTCAAGAAGTTACTTTCGGTCTCATTTTTTCTAGAACTCCATCATTGTTCCAGAATCGCCGATTGAAATATGAGTTTTCGGATTTAAAAAAAAATGCGTTTCATACCGAGTATTTCTACAATCTTGCTTCGGGACTATAAAAACACCCATATTTTTGGAATCAGCACGTTGAAATCTATATCCGGAATTTTTTGATGATTTTTAGATGACTTTTTCAAAATCAAAATTTTTCAGAACGAAAATTCCTAGCATTTTTCCAAAATTGCCTATTGAAAAAAATTGTATTTCGAATCTAATATTTCTAAAATCTTACCACGGGACCATAAAAACGCTAGATTTTTAATATCATCACGTCGAAATCTACACGCCAGAATTTTTTGAGTATTTTGAGATAATTTTTTTGAAAACCAAAATTTTACAATATGAAAATTTTTGAATTTTTCGACCACATTTGGAACTTAACCAAAGACATTTTTTTTTGTACATTTTAATCTCCAAAAATTAATTTAAGCCTCAAGAAGTTACGTTCGGTCTCATTTTTTCTAGAACTCCATCATTGTTCCAGAATCGCCGATTGAAATATGAGTTTTCGGATTTAAAAAAAATTGCGTTTCAAACCGAATATTTCTAAAATCTTGCCTCGGGACCATAAAAACACCCATATTTTTGGAATCAGCACGTTGAAATCTATATCCCCGAATTTTTTGATGATTTTTAAACAACTTTTTCAAAATCAAAATTTTTCAGAGTGGGAATTCCAAGCATTTTTCCAAAATTGCCTATTGAAAAAAAAATATATTTCGAACCTAATTTTTCTAAAATCTTGCCCCAGGACCATAAGAACGCTAGATTTTTGAAATCATCACCTCGAAATCTACACGCCAGAATTTTTTGAGTATTTTGAGACAATTTTTTTGAAAATCAAAATTTTTCAATATGAAAATTTTGGAATTTTTTGACCACATTTGAAACTTAACCAAAGCATTTTTTTGTACATTTTAATCTTAAAAAATTGATTTAAGCCTCAAGAAGTTACTTTCGGTCTCATTTTTTCTAGAAGTCCATCATTGTTCCAGAATCGCCGATTGAAATGTGAGTTTTCGGATTTAAAAAAAATTGCGCTTCAAACCGAATATTTGTAAAATCTTGCCTCGGGACCATAAAACACCATATTTTTGTAATCAGCACGTTGAAATCTATATCCGGAATTTTTTGATTATTTTTAGACAACTTTTTCAAAATCAAAATTTTTCAGAATGAAAATTCCTAGCATTTTTCCAAAATTGTCTATTGAAAAAATTGTATTTCGAACCTAATACATATATCTAAAATCTTGCCCCGGGACCATAAGAACGCTAGATTTTTGAAATCATCACGTCGAAATCTACACGCCAGAATTTTTTGAGTATTTTGAGATAATTTTTTTGAAAACCAAAATTTTTCAATATGAAAATTTTGGAATTTTTCGACCACATTTCAAACTTAACCAAAGACATTTTTTTGTACATTTTAATCTACAAAAATTAATTTAAGCCTCAAGAAGTTACTTTGGGTCTCATTTTTTCTAGAACTCCATCATTCCAGAATCGCCGAAAGAAATATGAGTTTTCGGATTTAAAAAAAAAATGCGTTTCAAACCGAATATTTCTAAAATCTTATCTCGGGACTATAAAAACACCCATATTTTTGGAATCAGCACGTTGAAATCTATATCCGGAATTTTTTGATGATTTTTAGATAAGTTTTTCAAAATCAAAATTTTTCAGAATAAAAATTTTGAAATTTTTCAAACACATTTAAAAATCTACCAAAAACATTTTCTTTAACATCTCGCCTTCCAGAAGTTCATGTCAGCCTCATTTCTTCCATAACTCCTAGTATTTTTCCAGAATCGCTCATTGAAATGTAACAGTTTTTTGAATTAAAAAAAAATATATTTCAGTATGAAAATTTTGAAATTTTTGGACCATCTTTGAAACGTAACCGAAGACATTTTCTTGTACATTTCACCCTCCAGAAGGTCCATTCGGCCTCATTTCTTCCATAACTACTAGCATTTTTCCAAAATTGCCCTTTGAAAAAAAATTCTATTTCGAACCGAATACTTCTAAAATCTTGCCCCGGGACAATAAATCGCTAGATTTTTGGAATCAGCACGTCGAAATCTACATCCCAGAGTTTTTTGAGGATTTTTAGACAAGTTTTTCATTACCAACAGCCTACAGTATGAAAATTTTGAAATTTTTGACCATCTTTGAAACCTAACCAAAGACATTTTCTTGTACATTTCGTCCTCCAGAAGGTTCTTTCGGCCTCATTTCTTCGGTAATTCCTAGCATTTTTTCAAAATTGCCAATTGAACAAAATTGTATTTCGAACCGAATACATCTAAAATCTTACCCTGGAACCATAAAATGTCTATATTTTCGGAATCAGCAGGTCGAAATGTACATCCTAAAATTTTTTGACGATTTTAGACAATTTTTTGAGTATTTTTGGACAACATTTTCGAAACCAAAATTTTTCAGTAGGAAAATTTTGAAATTTTTCGACCACCTTTGAAACTTAACGAACGGCATCTTCTTGTACATTTCGCCGTCCAGAAGTTCTTTTCGGCCCCATTTCTTCGATAATTTTTAGCGTTTTTTCAAAATTGCCCATTAAAAAAATGTATTTTGAACCTAATGCATATTTCTAAAATCTTGCCCCAGAACCATAAAAACGCTAGATTTTTGGAATCTGGATCCTATAATTTTTTGAGGATTTTTAGACAACTTTTTCAAAACTTTTTCAAACAAATTTTTCGGTGTAAAAATTTTAGAATTTTTCGAACACCTTTGAATCTAACGAAAGAGATTTTTTTATTCATTTTGCCCCCCAGAAGTTTCAGCCTCATTTTTTCGATGACACCTAGCATTTTATCAAAATCGCCCATTGAAATTATGATATTAAATATTTTGAATTAAAAAAAATATTTCAAATCTAATATTTCTAAAATCTTGCCCCGGGACAATAAAAATGCAATATTTTTGCAATCAGCACGTCGAAATCTACGTCTCCGAATTTTTGGAGGATTTTTAGACTACTTTTTCAAAATCAAAATTTTACCCTTATGAAAATTTCTAACTCTTCCGACCGCTTTCGAAACTTAACCAAAGACATTTTCTTGTACATTTCGACCTCCAGAAGCTACTTTCGGTCTCATTTCTTTGAAAACTCCTATCAGTATGAAAATTTTGAAATTTTTCAGTATGCAAATTTTGAAATTTTTCGATCATCTTTGAAACACAACTACAGACACTTTTTTGTACATTTCGCCCTCTAGAAGGTCCTTTCGGCCTCATTTCTTCGATAACTCCTAACGTTTTTCCGAAATTACCAGTTGAAAAAAAAATTTATTTCGAGCCGAATACTTCTAAAATCTTGTCCTGGAACCATAAAAAAATCTATATTTTTGGAATCAGCACGTCGAAATGTACATCCTAAATTTTTTGAGGATTTTTAGACAACTATTTCAAAACCAAAATTTTTCAGTTTGAAAATTTTGAATTTTTTCGACTATCTTTGAAACTTAACCAAATACATTTTCTTGTACATTTCGTCCTCCAGAAGGTCCTTTCGTTTCCTCGATAACTCCTAGCATTTTTCCAAAATTGCCCATTGAAAAAAAATTGTATTTCGAACCCAATATGTCTAAAATTTTGCCCCAGGACCATAAAAACGCTAAATTTTTGGAATCAGCACGTTCAAATCTATATTTCAGAATTTTTTGAGGAATTTTAGACAACTTTTTGAAAACCAGAATTTTTCAAAATGGAAATTTTGGAATTTTTCGACCACCTTTGAAACTTAACGAACGACGTTTTCTTATACATTTCGCCCTCTAAAAGTTCATGTCGGCCTAATTTTTTCAATAACTCCTACCATTTTTCCAGAAGCGCCCATTAAAATACAACAGTTTTTTGATGATTTTAAAACAGCTTTTTCGAAACCATAATTTTTCAGTACGAAAATTTTGGAGTTTTTCGACTACCCTTGAAATCTTTCATTAAACCTTTTCTTGTAGATTTCGATCTCCAGAAATTAGTTTCGGTCCCATTTCTTCGAAAACTCCTACACTTTTTCCAGAATATCGCCCTTTGAACCATTGAAATATAGGGTTTTTGAATTTAAAAATATATATATTTCAACCTCAATATTTCCAAAATGTTGTTCCGGTCATATTTTTGGAATCGGAACGTCGAAGTCTACATCGCAGAATTTCTTTTGAGGATTTTTAAACAACTTTTTCAAAGCCAAAATTTTTTAATATGGAAATTTTGGAATTTTTTGTATTAAAAAGATGTAGTTCAAAGTGAATATTTCTAAAATCTTCTCCTAGGACTACAATTTATATTTTTTGAATCAGCAGGTCGAAATCTACTTCCCAGAATTTTTTGAGGATTTTTAAACAACTTTTTCAAACCCAGAATTTTGGAATTTCGCGACCACCTTTGAAATTTAACGAAGGACATTTTCTTGTACATTTCATCTTCCAAAGGTTCCTGTCAGCCCCATTTTTCCGATAACTCCCACCATTTTTTCAAAATCGCCAATTGAAATAAGGTGTTTTTTTTAATTAAAAAAGTGTCCTTCAAACTGCATATTTCTAAAATCTTGTACTAGGACCATAAAACGCTAGATTTTTCGAATCAGCAATCGGAAATCTACTTCCCAGAATTTTTTGAGGATTTTTAAACAACTTTTTCAAAACCAAAATTTTCAATACCAAAAATTTCGAAATCTTTTGATCACCTTTGAAATTTAACCAAAGACATTTTCTTGTACATTTCAACATCTAGAGGTTACTTTCACCCACATTTCTTCGATAATTTCTATAATTGTTCCAAAATCGCCCATTGAAATAATGCAGTTTTTAGGGTTTAAAACAAAATTGTAAAATCTTGGCCGGGGTCTATAAAAAAACACTATATTTTTGGAGTCATTACGTCGAAATTCATATTCCAGATTTTTTTTGAGGATTTTTGGACAACTTTTTCACAACCAAAATTTTTAAGTAAACAAATTTTGGAATATTTCGACAACATTGGAAACTTTCCTATAGTACATTTCGCATTCCAGAAATTCCTTTTGGACTCATTTCTTAGAAAACTCCTAGCATTTTTCCAGAATGATCTATTGAAATATAGGGATTTTGGATTAAAAAAAATATATATATTTCAAACCGAATATTTACAAAATCTTGGTCCAGGATCGTAAAAACGTCAAAATTTTGGAATCAGCATGTCGAAATCTATATCCCAGAATTTTTTGAGGATTTTTAAGCAATTTTTTCAAAGCCAAAATTTTTCAATGTGGAAATTTTGGAATTTCGCGATCACCTTTGAAACTTAACGAAAGACATTTTCTTGTACATTTCAGTCTCCAGAGTTTCCTTTCGGCCCCATTTCTTCGACAATTCCCATCATTTTTCCAGAATCGCCAACTGAAATAAGGCAGTTTTTTTTTTAATTAAAAAAATGTAGTTCAAACTGAATATTTCTAAAATCTTGGCCTACGACTATAAAAACGTTATATTTTTGGAATCAGCACGTCGAAATCGATATCCCAGAATTTTTTGAGGATTTTTAAACAACTTTTGCAAAGTCAAAATTTTTCAATATGGAAATTTTGGAATTTCTCGATCATCTCTGAAATTTAACGAAATACATTTTCTTGTACGTTTCACCCTTCATAGGTTCTTTTCAGTCCCATTTCTCCGTTAACTCCCACCATTTTTCCTGAATCGCCAACTGAAATAAGGCATGTTTTTTAATTAAAAAAATGTAGTTCAAACTGAATATTTCTAAAATTTTGTCCTAGGACCATAAAAAGGTTATATTTTTTGAATCAGCAGGTCGAAATCTACAGCCCAGAATTTTTTGAAGATTTTGAAACAACTTTTTCAAAGCCAAAATTTTTCAATATTGTAATTTTGGAATTTCGCGATCACCTTTGAAACTTAACGAAAGACATTATCTTGTACATTTCACCCTCCAGAGTTTCCTTTCGGCCCCATTTCTTCGACAACTCCCACCATTTTTCCAGAATCGCCAATTGAAATAGGGCATTTTTTTTAATGTAGTTCAAACTGAATATTTCTAAAATCTTGTCCTAGGACCATAAAAACGTTATATTTTTTAAATCAGCAGGTCGAAATCTACATCTCAGAATTTTTTGAGGATTTTTTAACAACTTTTTCAAAACCAAAATTTTCAGTACCAAAAATTTCGAAATCTTTCGATCCACCCTTGAAACTTAACTAAAGACATTTTCTTGTACATTTCAACAACCAGAAGTTACTTTCACCGGCATTTCTTCGATAATTCCTATCATTTTTCCAAAATCGTCCATTGAAATAATACAGTTTTTTTGGATATAAAATAAAATTGTATTTCAAACCGAATACTTGTAAAATCTTCACCAGGGACTATAAAAACGCTGTATTTTTGCAATCATTACTTGGCAATTCATGTCCTAGTTTTTTTTTTGAGGATTTTTAAGACAACTTTTTCAAACTAAAATTTTTCAGAAATATGAAAATTTCGGTTCTTTCGACCAGTTTTGAGACTTAACCAAAGACATTTTCGTGTACATTTCGACCTCCAGAAATTCCCTTCAGCCTCATTTCTTCGATAACTCCTAATATTTTTCCAGAATCGCCCAGAAAGATGAGCGTTGTTTGGATTCCTTAAAAAAAATCGTATTTCAAACCGAATATTTCTAAAGTCTTGTCCCGGAACCATAAAAACGCCCTCAATCAGCACGTCGAAAACTCAGGTTTTTAGACAACTTTTTCAGAATCAAAAATTTTTATTAGAAAAATTTTTAAATCTTTCGACTTCATGTCTTCGGTAACTCCTACCATTTTTCTAAATGACGGTTTTTTAGATTAAAAAAAAAGTATTTCAAACCAAATATTAAAAAAAAACCGAGCTGTTACCATCTTGATATTCTAAGTATTATACATTTTTACTTTGAGCTGCGTACTCGATATTGTGTAAACTTGATCTTCAATAAATCCAATCATTCGTCATTCATTATCAAATACTCTAATCCCTATGATGTAATGTAATTTAATTAACACACAAAGACGAGTGCATTTTTACATCAAAAATAATCACTTCTCGTTATAGCAGCACTGATAACTAAATTATTGCACTCTGGGACACTTAATATATCTAAATGACTTAAGTCATTCGTTTTATCCTCTCCTCATGCGCCATCTCGATTCCCCTCACCCTCACCCCACCCGTCGCGCCGCATCGCATAGCCCCTCTTCATATTTACCCACCAATTAAACATGCACTCGCTTTTATTGTTCGCGCGATAAAACTCTTATCTTAATTAAAACCCAGATATATAAAAACCCGCTGACATCTCCAAGCCGTGGAAAAAATCAATAACCACTATCACGCCGTTATCAATTAACCCATTTTTATCAATTAGTAAAAATGTAAGTCTGACACTGTTCATTTCGCCACGATGAGACGAAAGTTAGCACTGAAGCCAGGTTTGACGTCACTCCTCCAAACCCACCTTTTCCAAAACGCCAAACTGTCCACAGGCCAGCCCGAGAAACTCCACATCCAACTCCTCCACTTCAAACAAAGGTTCAACTGGGACTGCGGAATCTCGTGCGTGTTGATGGTTTTGCCCAAGAAACACCGCCAGCACTTGGTGAGGAACTTCGTCAAGGTGTGCAAAGAAGAGGGGTTCTATGGAAGCACGTGGACTGTGGACTTGTGCTACTTGTTGAAGCGGTACGAAATGAACCATATTTACTACACTGTGACGCTAGGAGTGCATCCTGGGTACAAAGGGAACAGTTTCTACCACCACATATTAAATAAGGTAGGTGGCGCGCAAATTTTGCTTTGTGTAACCAAGCGAATTCGATAGGACGAATCTCGGGTGAATCGAAGGTTCGAAACCGCGCAAAGCAACGGAGTAGTGATTGAGAGAGCATCCATAACATGTAACAATATATTGGATCACTTGATGAACGGACCTGTGATCATTTTGACAAATGCGAGACTACTGAACTGTGATGTGTGCAAATTTAACAAAATTTCCACCGAGTTGAGGAAGTGCATACCGCTGCCGGTGCCGTATCAAGGGCACTATGTGGTTTTGTGTGGGTACGACCTGGCGGCGAGGAAGGTTTACTACAGGAATCCCTCGTTTGTTGACAGTGAGTTTCGTTTATTGATTTTGATAATCGTTGGTCATTTATTTTGTGTTTTTGTGTTGGCAGGAGTGTGTATAATGTCGGTTGACACACTAGAAGAGGCTAGGAAGAGTTACGGGACTGACGAAGATGTGATTTTTGTTTATACGTGATTTTGTGATAAGTTAGGTTAAGTGCTTCTCCTACGGCAGCCATTACCGTGTTTACTCCCTCCAAGACGACGCAACGTGTGACAGCTCCCCCTCCAGCGTCAGGCGCAACGCCATTGGCCGTTTTGTACGTTCAATTAAAACTAGTGTGTTTCCCCTCCTGGCGCCATTTTATTTATTGGCGCCACTCGAACCAGCAACAAAACGCCTCTTAAAACTATAAATTTATTTCAATTGCGAAAATAATACATTTCCTTATTATTATAAATATAATTTCATCTTTGCTTTGCCTAAGTTAATTAACACATTTTTTTCATCAACATTTGGTAACAAAGGCACAAAATATTTTTAGTAGTACTTTCGTGATAGATTAACACAAAAATAAAAATGAATGAGTTACGCTCACTAACTGAGACAACACAAAACGAAAACTCGTGAACACTTGAATGAAAAATCTATAATATAAAAATCACGTTGTTTCCCAGACACTTAAGTTACTTAAAGAAACAAAAACTTAAAAAATGGCTTAATTCTTACGATGCAATCTTCGATTGCGGGTTTTTTGCACGTCGCTCCTTTTTGGCATGGGTTTAGGGGGCGATTTCGCTTTCGCTCCTAAAACAATAATAACAATAATAATAATAATAATGAAACTAGGGGTGATTATGTTACCTTTAGCGTTTCTAAGGCTCTTTCTCACACTCTTCTTTGTACTATCGTCGCTTTTCGCCCTCCTACTCTTGATCAGCTTCTTCTTCGCGACTTGAGCCACTTTCTTCTTAATCGAAATCTTCTTACTCCTAAGTATCCTCTGAGCTAAAGTAATCTTATTTTTTAAAGCACTCTTCGGTTTCTTCCCCTCCTTCAATAATCGGCTGCTCTTCCTCACCTTCGTGAGCCCGTCATCACATTTACGTTTCGCCCCTCTCGTCGCCACCTGCGGCGCCTTCCCCCCACTCCTGAGATTATGCTTAACCTTCTCGTTCGAGTTCTCGTCGCAGTTGTCGTTGAAGTCGTTCGAACTCGACGAGATCTCGTTGATCTGTATCGACGTGTCCTTCTCCACGTTCTCCTTGTCCTCGGCCTCCCTCGGGTCGAAGCTCGTGCTCTCCCGCGGCTTCGACGCGAAGTTGCGCTCCTTCAGAGGGAACGAGTTCGAGGTGACCTCGCTCGACGTCACCGGGTTCGCCTCGTCGTCTCTCCGCTCGGGCGGCTCCGGCGCTGGAAGAGTGGGGGAAGTGCTCACCTGGTCGCCCCCGCCCTCGCCCTCCTTCAGCTTGGTGGCGATCTCCTCGAACCGCGTCATGATCTTGAGACCGCTGTCGGGGTAGGCGTTCTTCTTGCGGTTCTTGAGGACTTGGGCGCGCGGCGGCCCGGGGGGGTCGAGCATGAGCGTGACCACCGAGGTGTTGTCGGCGCGCATCTTCGTGTTGTGCCACCTCTCCAAGGCTTTCTCGACGAGGAGCTTGCTGGGGTTGAGCCACGTCTTGTTGATGGAGTCGCTCAGAGCGGCGTTCTCGTTGTGCCGTTCGGCTTGTTGCACGATGTGGACGGCGTTCTGGGGACTCAGCATGTTGAAGAGGCCGTCCGTGCCGAAGATGAGGCACCGGTGGATGTTGGTGTCGATTGTGAAGACTGCGCAGTCGGGGTCGGGGGAGACGATGAATTGGTTGATTTGGGAGTTGTAGGACCAGAGGTCGCCTAAACTGCGGGCTACTGCGAGGAAGGGAATCTCGTCGATGGGGGTGGAGCGCCGGACGGGGCCCTGGTGGCCCATTTTTGGCCGGTTCCAGACCACGCGGGGAACACCTGCGGCAAAATGGGGGCTTACTTGATGGACTTTAATTTTATTGACTGCTTAGTTCTTGGTTTAGTTATTTTTTAAACTTTGATGTTTTAAAAAAATGATTTGTCAAATGTTTTCAGTCATAAAATCACGGTAAAAAATCCCTAACGAATGACGCACAGGCATCCAACATTATCAAAAATTTGACAGTGATTGCAAAGTGAACTTGTGGATATTTGAAATTCATGTTGGCAAAAATCGTGTCTGTCAAATGTATAGAATTCCCTATTTCAAATTGCAATTCATTCATAACCTCAAAATTAGCATTGACAGTTTTATAACCAAAATTGCTGAAGGTCGTTTTATACACATTAATTTGAAAAAGTTCCTTACGAAGAATCGTACAGCAGTTCAATGGTAATTTACGCAGTTTAAAATTCACACTTTCAAGCGGAATTTCATTTTAGGGTAAATTACAACTTTGGTTAAGTTTTGCTGTCAAATGCCTGTTAAACTGAAACATGAACACCAAACATTTTGTTGGTACAACTGTGCTGTTGTGACAATATGAGGTGAGCTCTTGTCATATTTGACACTTCCGTCCAATATGGCCACTTGAAACTAATCAAGATCACATTTTACTTTATTTATTTTGTGGGTCAAAGTTAGTTTAGACAGTTTTTTGAACACATTTCCACTAGTTTAGAACCTTGCATAATATTATAGGGTATTTTACGCATTACCAACATAATTTGGTAGGTACAAATAATGTGATTAATGACAGAAACAAACTGATATCAGGTATTTATTCCCAACTAGACATAACCTTTTTAAAAGATTTGCAACAACAGATGATAATTCTCAACTATTGTTGATTATTTCCCAATGTAATCATAATCACATTGAGGTTATTTTTTTAGGTCTTAACTAATAAACAGCAACATATACAATAACTGATTAACTCTCTGATATTTCTGATAGTTGCAGGCAAAACTTAGTGAAAACAATTCGTGAATTGCGTCAGGAGATTTGTTATTATGAGTTATAGTCAGAAACCTAGTTCTAGCCACAATCCATTTTGACAACATTTTAGGTGAAGACTTATGTCACTTATATGTCAAATGAATACATTTAACGCTTATGCGCGGGTTTAGAATCTCTCATACTACAGGGATTTTAGTTATTACCAACTTATTTCAATAGGTAATGGATTTTCAATAAAATAAGAGTTTGATGAATCCAACAAAGAGTAATTTTTGTAGCAAACGAATGAAAAATTGGAATGGATATGGGTGGGGCTTACTTTGCATTTTGCAATTAAGTTCCGCCCCCTTGGCCAACGACGAATAATAAAAATCATCACAATTGAGATAGGGCGGGTGGGCGGGGCTTATATTTTGCATTTTTCCCCTAATATGTCTGGTAATCTTTTCGCAACAAGAAACTTAAAAGATGTTGAAAGTGGTAAATTTGTATAGGGAAATATGGATTTTTCAATTACGCACCGCCCCTCGGTCTGACAACCAATGAAAAATTCATCACGATTGAGATCGAGACGGATGGGTGGGGCTTCTTTTGGTTTTCTTTTTTTAACATCTAGTTTTCTTTGTATAACACGATTACTTAAGAACATATTTCATATGGTAATTTCTCGTAGAAAAATAAGAATTTTACAGTTAAGCTCCGCCTCTCGGCTTACAAGCAATAAAAAAAAATCATCACACTGGAGACAGGGCGGGTGGGCGGGGCTTATATTTTGCCATTTTTTTTCTTAATATACATAGCCATCTTTTCACAACAAGAAATTTAAAACATGATTAAAATGGGTCATTTTTGCAAGAAAATATGGATTTTCCAATTATGGGGCGGAGCCTAAATGCAAAATTGATACTTCCTTATACAAATTTTCCATTTTAAACATATTTTAAGTTTCATGTTGTGAAAAGCAGTCTACACAGATTAAAACAAAAAGGCAAAATGTCAGCCCGCCCACCCGCCCTATCTCAATTGTGATGATTTTTTTTATTCGTTGTGAGCTTAACTGCAAAATACGTATTTCTTTACAGGAAATTAAAAACATGTTTTTGAGTATCGTGTTGTTCAAAGAATATTATGTATATTAAGAAAACGAGGCAAAATATAAACCCTGCCCACCCACCCCATCTCAATTGTGATTATTTTTTGAATTCTTAGAAACTCAAAACACGTTAAAATTGGTAAATTTTTGTAAGGAAATCTGGATTTTACAATTAAGCTCCCCTCCTCGGCTTGCGACGAATAAAAAAAAATCACCAGAATTGAAATAGAGGGGGCTTATATTTTCCTTTTTTTTTCGTAATATACATAGCCATCTTTTCACGGCAACACTTTTGCAATTACGCTCCGCCCCCTATGCTCACGACAAATAAAAAATCATCACAATTGAGACAGGGCGGGTAGGCGGCTCTTATATTTATCTTTTTTTTCTTAATATACATAGCCATCTTTTCACGGCAACATTTTTGCAATTAAGCTCCGCCCCCTAGGCTCACGACGAATAAAAACTCATCACAATTGAGACAGGGCGGGTAGGCAAGACTTACATTTTGCCTTTTTTTCTTAATATGTGTAGTCATCTTTTCACAACAAGAAACTTAAAACATGTTTAAAATGGTAAATTTGTGTAGGGAAATATCGATTTTGCAATTACGCTTCGCCCCTTAGTCTGACAATGAATGAAAAATTCATTTCTTTTTCAATTAATACATTTTAGTTTTCTTTGTGTAACATATTTCACATGGTAATTTCTCGTAGAAAAATAAGGATTTTACAATTAAGCTCCGCCTCTCGGCTTATGACGAATAAAAAAAAATCATCACAAATGAGATGGGGTGGGTGGGCGGGGTTTATATTTTGCCTTGTTTTCTTAATATACGTAGCCATTTTTTCACATGAAACTTAGAACATGATTAAAATGGTACATTTTTGCAAGAAAATATGGATTTTGCAAATATGGGGCGGAGCCTAATTGCAAAATTGATATTTCCTTATACAAATTTTCCATTTTTTACATATTTTAAGTTTCATGTTGTGAAAAGCAGTCTACACAGATTAAAACAAAAAGGGAAAATGTCAGCCCGCCCACCCGCCCTATCTCAATTGTGATGATTTTTTTTTATTCGTCGTGAGCCCAGAGGGCGGAGCTTAACTGCAAAATACTTATTTCTTTACAAGAAATTAAAAACATGTATTTGAGTATCGTCTTGTTCAAAGAATACCAAGTATATTAAGAAAAAAGGGCAAAATATTAACCCCGCCCACCCACCCCATCTCAATTGTGATGATTTTTTTATTCTTAGAAACTTAAAACACGTTTAAAATGGTATTTTTTTAAAGAAATATGGATTTTGCAATTAGGCTCCGCCCTCGGCTTACGACGAATAAAAAAAAATCATCACAAATGAGAAAGGGTGGGTGGGCGGGGCTTACATTTTGCCTTTTTTCCCTTTAACATACATAGCCATCTTTTCGCAACAAGAAACTCAAAACATGTTTAAAGTGGTAAATTCTTGTAGACAAACATGGATCTTGTAATGAAGCCCCGCCCCTCGAAATAACGAATGAAAAATTCATCACAATTGAGATAGGGTGGGTGGGCGGGGCTACATTTTGCCTTTTTTTTTCTAAATATGTATAACTTATTTCGACAATAATAAACTGAAAACATGTCTAAAATGGTGATTTTTTGTAGTAATCAACTTAAATCCTTCACTTTTCTTCCACAACCCCTTTAAATACGGCTAAAGCTGAACATCGTAATCAACGGAGTTTAATAATTAGTTTTCACCTCTAAAAGCAACGTCAGCGGTAACAGCAACTGCAGCGGAAACTTGAAGGTCAACAGTAAGTTTATAAATCTCATTTAAGATTTTTTTCACTTATGTGTCAAGTGAATATATTTAATGCATTGGCATTGGTTTAGAATCTCTCATACTCTAGGGTATTTTACGTACTACCAACATAATTCAATAGGTAATGGAGTTTCAATAAAATAAGAGTTTAATGTTAAATTCCCATAATTCAGTGTTCAAGGGAGCATAAAATTAAAAAAGGATTTTTTTTACGATATTTAATAGATTTTGCATCATTTTAGCCGCAAAAATATTATTTTTATTTGTTACCCAATTCACTAATCGTAACAATGCAACTTTAAACGTTTTGGTACTTCTGAATAACCTGTCATAATGACAGTAATGACATTTTTCACACCAAATGACAGTGTACCAATCCACGACAAAAACACCAACACATTTTGTTTATATATTTTTATCAGGAAATTATATTGCTATGGAATGTAAATTAATGATTACCAAAGTACTAAAGTACCTCAAAGTCTTTAATTATTACTTTCACCTAAATCCTAAATCTTTCATTACCTAATTACCATAACCTTACTCTTACAGTTGATAATTTCTTTGAAAACTTCTGATTTATCAAAATTAGCTAAAAAACGAAAAATTAATTTATGGGTAGTTTCTTCAAAATAAGTTCATTTCTCTCTACTTCCTACTGTATTTACCAATTTAAATGTTGTTCTTTCGACGAAATTCAAACATAACCTCACTTTTACAAAATCAGTCTTAAAATCTTCTGCTTCTGATTTTTCTAATTACCCACATTATTCAAGCATTTCTCATCCTACAACAACAAATCTCTTTATTAGCATCTATGCATTCAAATGATTTTCTTTATCAACAACTTTACCCCTCATTAGCTATATTAACTACTTTCTCTTCATAACTCATGAAGTCGTTACACCGCCATTAACTTCCCTTTACATACCTAACTCACCATCCCAATGCCACTTTAACCACAAAATCTGTTCAACTTTACAAAAATTACTTCACATAGCAACCACGTCAATATCGTTCTTAAGCATGATAAAACCTGTACAAACCTGATTTAGCCACAACTTTCCCACCACACTGGTTTATCCTCGTCATCTCATCCAAATTCTCTGGTTTATGGTCCCTAGTTAAAGGCCTGGCCCTCCACTCCGTGGACCCATTCTCTTGGTACCCTACAACCCCCATTAAGCCACAGCACTCACTCGCACTCCCCTCACCTAAAATAATCCCTGAATCTCCGACATGTCCGATATAAATTTTTCCTCTCCGTATGAAGGCCACACTCGCCGTCGTCCCCGCCGTGCTCGGCAGCCCCGACGCCGTCCTGGGCCACTTCTCTGCAAACAAACACCAATAACCTCCAGTCTGACGTCAGTGGCGCCCTAACCTCACTTTCCGACTGTAAGCGGGAAAAGTGCGGTTCTGGCGCAGTTTCGCAAAGACAAGCACCTTGTTCCTTCCACATCGCGTAGTGCGTGGCGATGTAGCCGTCTTTGATCGCCCTCAGAACGTCCTCATCATTGTCGGACCAGAAAGACTTGTGTTTGATTATGGTCTCCATTAGGTGTTCCTTGGCGAAGGCGGCGGCCTCGGCGCCCCCGTGGCCGTCGTAAATGCCGAAAAACGCATACTCTAGGTCTCGTTCGTCCTCCGTTTGCTGATAAGCCACTGAAAAGAAGTCTTCCATGTATTTCCTGCCGCCTTGGCGGCAGTGCCCCGTCACGCGCAGATTCACCCCTATGGAAGCTGGCATTTTCGTGGTAAATACATTAAAACTAGAAAACACAATTATAATAACACATTTGGCTGGAATTTTAACATTCGAATTTTAGATGTTGTTTGTGGCGTAACTGTCATTGTCAATTTTAACTATGTCAGAGGCTGCGACGTGACCTCATCGTGCGCGTTTGTTTAACTGCGGAGAATATGCGCACTTTCACTAGACGTGTGTCGAGGATTAGTGCGCAAATGCAGCGCCAACTAACCCAATTTAAAACGGGAAACTAGGGGGTAATTGTCGGTAATGCAGAGACCGTGCGTGTTGTAATTACCACAAGCGGGAAATTCGAATTCGTCATGGTTGCAGGTGAAAAATAACCACTTTTTGCAAACAGTTTATTATAAGTTAGTGCTTTGAACAATTTATAAAGCTTTTTCCGAGTACTTCTCACTTCATTTTTATACAAGTGCTGATTTTTCTATAATTGGTAACGATTTATAAATTCTACTAGACTAAAAAAAGCACAAGTTCTGCTTCAGAGGTAGAACAAATCAGTGACCTAATGACAAAAATAGTGACTTCTCGGACTTATAATATCAACAATTTTTAATAAATAAGTACATGGTAATAGTAACTATCACTAAAATTTAAACAAACAAAAAAAAGACTAAAAAATAAATTCAAGTTACTAAATAAACAGGACTAGATAAATACAACCACTGGAAACTCTTCCCACACTTTCTTAAATAAATAAAATTCACGCGGTATACATTCAATAAAATTAATAAAAACAACAAAAAAATGTATGGTATTGTTCTCATCAACAAAGTGTAAAATTAATATACAATATATAGAGGGTGAGGCAAAATAATTAAAACTGGGGTTAGGGATGATAATAAATAATTCCAATAAAAACTAGTCGCTCTGTTTCATAGATGCGATTTTTGTCCCTCTTGCTCGTAGAAAAGAACGTAGGCTTCTCCACTCACGATCGATTTCGGAGATATCGACGACACCCTGCACACACACAGAAATTGGTTGCCATGACCACCGATCAATACATTTGTTTACAATACAAACCTTGAATCGTTATATTCATGCCAGGCCTTGTTGTACGGATGACGACAGTACGCCGTATAATGGCCACTATACGTTGTCCCACTGTGGTTAGAGATGGCGTACAAATTATAGCGACAGGGAGTGACATTATCGGCGGCGTAGTGACTCATGTCGAGCCCCTCCAATGGAAAATCAACGGTTACGCTGAGCTTACCTCTAAACCTCTCCGCCAATGAGAACCGTTTCAAATCTACTCACGTTAAGAAAAACACAAATTAGGAAAGGACACGCAAACAAACACAGTAAAAAGGATACGTATTACTAAAATCTTGGGGAACTTCTGAATAGTGAAAGACTTGGTGCATTTCCTTCTTTCTTTACATTTAGAACACGTCTGCAACAGATTTGTGATTTTTATTTTTTATATTTTTTTAATTACTACTTACTGGTTTTTCATCCCCATCCAAAGTTTCTTCTCTGGTGAAGGAATCAAGGCATTGTGCTAGTCTCACTTGCCCGGCCCTTTGCGGTATGGGTAAAGATAAGTCCCAGAATGGGTCGAAGGTAACTGAACAGTGCCCACAGTGGGTGCATTTTAGTGTGGATTTTAACTGTCCTACGAAGTAGTCGACGATCTTCGAATTGTCCATGCGTAGGTAACGGTTCCATGACTCGGAAGATTTTTCGCTGTCACTGTCGCAACAGAAGTCTGTTTAATTGATTTCGTTTCCTAATGTTTTTAATTCAAAAAAGGTGACACAACAATGTGGATAGTTTCAACAGCTACGCTGTCACCCTCTCGGACTAAGCTAGTTACTTAGTAATTACTAATTACTTGTGTTTATATAGTCTACCTGCGGCTCCCCGCACCACTTTCCTGTTTCTCAACCAATGTGAATAATAAATAAGGAAATAATTAGAAGTGGGTTCGTTTAGTCCGAGATGATAACCAAGCTGTTGAGATGCGTCGAGGGTTTATTGGAATTTTTGTTGTCTCGGAGATAATAATCTGTTTTAGTTACGTCACTAAGTATCGAGATTACAAACGACGAGTTTCTTTTAAAGAATCTAAACATCTCATCTACTTCTAGCAACGTAAGTAGGCAAGATCTGCGCGTGATGTCATAGTAATATTCGGAAAATTGAAATTGTATTAATTTCTTCCAGATTTGTAAGACATCCACTCATCCTCTTCAAAAAATTAATTACGTCGTCTTGAATTGTTTATACAGGATGTCTCAACAGTTGTGGAGACCTATATTACTTTACATTTCCGAAATAACCCTAATAAAAATTTTAAATATTATTAGGTTTTACGATAAACCTCAATAAACCTGTACCAAAAGAAAGCTTTTAAGAGACGCTTTCAAAAACATTAAAATACAGGTGTCCTATGCGAGGATCATTGAAACACTGAGAATTTGTAGATTTGATCACTCTGTATAACTAAACTAAGGGTTCAACTTTGTTAAACGAGCATTTGCGAAAAATTCCAAGCCTCCATCTTTAAAAATGGCGGATTTGTTATTTTTTCCTTAAAAAAATCATTACTTATTTATGTATGTATCAAGCAACTTCGAATAATGCCAGTGGTACATAAAAAAATGTATGTTTTACCGTTTAGATTTTGAGCGAATTAAATAGGATTTAAGTATCTTGGGTTCCTTGGATTTTTTTGGATCTTTTTATTTTTGTTTGATATTTCGATGTTTTCGACGTTTGTAGACCTTTTGGTTTTTCATTTTTTGGATTTCTTGAGTTTTTCGATTTTTTTATGTTTCTTGCAATTTTTTAGATTTTTTCAAATGTTTTGATATTTTCGATGTTTTGGATTATTGGATTACTTAAGTTTCTTGGGTCTATTGCATCTCTCGGATTTTTTGTTTTTTATTTTTTCGGATATTTTTGATTTTCTGGATTTTTGGAATTTGTTATTTATTGAGTATTTTGAATTTCTTGGGTTTCTTTGACATTAACATTTTTTCGATTTTTCGAATAATTTTTCTTCTGTATTCTAATTTTCTAATTTTTTGGATTTTTGAAATTATTGGATTTATTGCGTTTTTGAGTTTCTTATTTTTTTCGATTTAATTAACTTTTTCAATTTTCTTGATATTTTTTATTTTTTGTTTTTTATTTTCTATTTTTTAATTTTGGAATATTTTTGAATTTTTGAATTATTGGATTTATTGATTTTTTTGGGTTTCTTCGACTTTTCAGATTTTTCAATTCGTTCTTTGTTGTTTTGATTTTTTTTATATTTTCGATTATTTGGATTATTGGATTTCTTGAGTTCTTAGGTTTCTGTTTTTTTTGGAATTTGGATTTTTGGAATTTTGGTTCTTTTTGGATTTTTGTATTTTTTGAATTTTGTTTCTTTCTGGAATTTCTTGCTTTGTATGAATTTTTTAGGTCTTTTGAGTTCGATTTTTCCGATATTTTTTTTTATTTTTGGACTTTCTTGCATTTCCTGGGTTTTTTGTATTTTTGTATTTTTTTTAACCGTAACTTGAGTTTCTCGACCTTTTTGGATTTTCGTTTTTTTTTTGACATCTTTGGATTTATAAAATTTTTTCGATTTTTCGAATAATTTTTCTTATGTATTCTAATTTTCTAATTTTTTGGATTTTTGGTATTATTGGATTTATTGCGTTTTTGAGTTTATTTTTTTCGATTTAATTAACTTTCTCAATTTTCTTGATAATTTTATTTTTTGTTTTTTATTTTCTATTTTTTAATTTTGGAATGTTTTTGAATTTTTGGATTTATTGATTTTTTTTAATTTCTTGGGTTACTTCGACTTTTTGGATTATTGGATTTCTTGAGTTCTTAGGTTTGTTTTTTTTTGGATTTTGGATTTTTCGAATTTTGTTCCTTTTTGGATTTTTTGAATTTTGTTTCTTTCAGGAATTTCTTGTTTTGTATGGATTTTTTAGATCTTTTGAGTTCGATTTTTCCGATATTTTTTTTTGATTTTTGGGATATTTTCGAATTTTGGAATTATCGAATTTTTTGCGTTTTAGATTTTTTAGAAGTTTTAAAATTCTGTGTTTTCAATTGTTTTGAATTTTTTGGATATTTTCAATTTTTGGAGTTTCTTACATTCCCTGGGTTTTTTGTATTTTGTATTTTTTTGATGTTTTGGATTTGATCTTTTTTTACATTTTTGGATTTATTAATTTTTTCTAATTTTCGTTAAATTTTCTTTTGTATTTTTATTCTCTGATTTTTTGGATTTTTGTACTCATGTATTGGATTTACTGTGTTTTTGAGTTTCTTGGTGATTTTTCGAATTTTGTCCTTTTTGGATTTTTGGATTTTCTTGGATAGTTTGGAGTTTTTAGATCTTTTAGGTTTTATTTTATTGGATTTAATCAATTTTTTCGATTTGTCCGATAATTTTTATTGTTTTTTGGAATATTTTCGAATTTTTGAATTATTGGGTTTTTTTGAGTTCCTTGTATTTTTTTAATTTTTAAATTCTTTTTTTGTTTTAAATTTCTCGGATATTTTTGATTTTGGATTTTTGAAGTTTCTTGCATTTCCTGGGTTTTTTGTATTTTGGATTTGTTTTTCTAATTTTTGAATGTTGGAATCATTGGATTCCTTGAGATGCTCGGGTTTTTTGGATTTTTGGAATTATTGGACTTTCTGTGTTTTTGAGTTTCCGAAGTTTCTTTAATTTTTTTGATATTTTCGATTTTTGGATTTTTTAAATTTTGTTTGGATTTTATTTTTTCGATTTCATTAACTTGTTAAATTTTCTTGATAATTTTTATTTTCAATTTTTTATTTTTGGAATATTTACGAATTTTTTAATTATTGGATTTACTTATTTTTATAAATTTCTTGGGTTTCTTCGACTTTTTGGATTTTTTATTTGTTTTAATTTTTTTTCTGTTTTCTTTTTATTTTGGATTTTTCGAATTTTGTTTCTTTTGTGATTTTTGGATTTTTTAGATCTTTTGAGTTCAATTTTTCCGATAATTTTTATTTTTGTTTTGTTTTTGGATTTTTGGGATATTTTCGAATTTGGAATTATTGTATTTCTTGAGTTTTTTTGAATTTCTTGGGTTTTTCGTTTTTTTAGATTTTTTGAAGTTTTAAAATTCTGCCTTTTTAATTGTTTTGAATTTTTGGAGTTTCTTACATTTTCGGGGTTTTTCGTATTTTTTGTATTTGTTGTTTTTATTTGACATTTTTGGATTGATTCAATTTTTTCTACTTTCCGATTAATTTTCCTTTTGTATTTTTATTTTCTGATTTTTGAGATTTTTGGAATTATTGGATTTACTGCTTTTTTGAATTTCTTGGGTTTCTTGCATTTCTTGTTTTTTTTGGATTTTTGAATTTTCCGAATTGTTCTGGATTTTTTAGATCTTTTGGGTTTTATTTTTTTTGGATTTAATCAATTTTTTCGATTTTCCGATAATTTTTACTGTTTGTTTTTTGGAATATTTTCGAATTTTTGAATTTGTTGATGGGTTCCTTGGATTTTTTGAGTTTCTTGCATTTCCTGAGTTTTTTTTTTGTAATTTTTGGATTTTTGTTTCTTTTTTAATTTTTAGATTTATTGATTTTTTGGGTTTTATTTTTTGTTTTTTATTTTGTTTTTTGAATTTTTGGAATATTTTCGAGTTTTTGAATTATTGTATTTCTTGAGCTTTTTGAGTTTCTTGATTTTAATTTTTTAGATTTTTTAGATTTTTAAAATCATTTTTTATTTTGATTTTTTAGGATATTGTCGATTTTGGATATTTCGAGTTTCTTCCATTTCCTCGGTTTTTTCTAATTTGTATATTTTTTTCTAATTTTTCTAATCTAGGATTTCTTGAGTTTCTTACGTTTTTTGGATTGTTTGGGTTTGTATTTTTGTTGACATTTTTGGATTTAGTATTTTTATTTTGATTTTTTGAGTTTTTGGATTTGTTGGATTTACTGCGTTTTTTGAGCTTCTTGGGTTTCTTTGATTTTTTGGATTGTTTAAATTCCGTGTTTTGGATTGTTTTGGTTTTTTGGAAATTTTCGATTTTTTTGGATTATTGAATTTCTAGAGTTCTTGGGTTTCTCCCATTTCTTGGGTTTTTTGTTTTTTTTTATTTAATCATGTTTTCGATTTTCCGATATTTTTTTTTTTTGGGAAATTTTCGAATTTTAGAATTATTGTATTTATTGATGAGTTCCTTGGATTTTAAAATTCTTTTTTTATTGTTCTAAATTTTTCGGATATTTTCGATTTTGGATTTTTGGAGTTTTTTGCATTTCCTGAGTTTTTTATACATATTTTATATTTTTTTGTAATTTTTGGATTGTTTCGATTTTTGTTTCTTTTTGACATTTTTGGATTTATTAATTTTTTTCGATTTTTCGAATTATTGGATTTATTGTGATTTTTAGATTTTTTAGATTTTTAAAATTCATCTTTTATTTTGAATTTCTCGGAAATTTTCGATTTTGGATTCTTGGAGTTCCTTGCATTTTTTCTAATTTTTCTAATCTAGGATTTCTTGAGTTTCTTAGGTTTTTTGGATTGTTTGGGTTTGTATTTTTTGTGACATTTTCAGATTTATTAAATTTCTTCGACTTTCTTTTATATTTTTATTTTCTGATTTTTTGAGTTTTTAAAATTGTTGGATTTAATGCGTTTTTTGAGGTTCTTTGGTTTCTTTGATTTTTTGGATTGTTTAAATTCCTTGTTTTGGATTGTTTTGATATTTTTTGAAATTTTCGATTTTTTTGGATTATTGGATTTCTAGAGTTCTTGGGTTTCTTGCATTTCTTTTTTTTTTGGATTTAATCAATGTTTTCGATTTTTCCGATAATTTTTTTTGTTTTTTATTTTGTTTTTTGGGATATTTTCGAATTTTCGAATTATTCTATTTCTCGAGTTTTTTGAGTTTCCTGAATTTTTTTATATTTTGTATTTTTGGATGTTTTGGATTTTTGGAATCATTGGATTTCTTGAGTTTCTAGGCTTTTTTGGATTTTTTCGTGTCCTATTCGAAAAACATTAAAAACTCAGAAATTGCAGATTTGATCACCCTGTATAAATAAGTCAACGTACGTTAAGGCACGGCGAGTAAGAGTAAAAATATTTGCGAAAAATTTCAAACCTCACATCACCTAAAAAATACTAAATACATGTTTCTCGATAAATACATTTTTAGATATAATAATGCACATTCCGAATCGGTCGAATGTTGCTATGACGTCACGCGTACCTTGCGCCACTATAAAACGCTAGAAAGTCGTTATCTTTATACATTTTTGTTTGTTTTTAAACAAAAAGTTCATGTTTTTTATTGACCATGGTTTTAATAACACCGAAACAAAAAATAAAAAAACATGATCAAAGACAACCATGGATTTTTGACAGTTTGTTTCTGATCGTTACATTTTCAACTCAAACTTGCAAACTGATGAAAAGACAAAAATTCAATCAGACAAATCTTGAAAATTCCCAAAAGAAAGTTAGGTTCTGATTGGCAAATTGACAAAATTAATAAATAATTGCATTTAACATAACCTAACAAAAAAATCTGAAGGAATTTTGATTATTTTGTACCGACTACCAACAAACGTACTGGATTTTCATGGCCAACCCTACTTCGAAAAAATTGTGAATAGACAATACTATCATTGTGATACATAGAAAATACAAACAAAAGATTGTACATTACTATTAAAAACCGTATCTCATTCCAAATAAATTGAACTTTTTCAAGTTTCAATTGTATATATAAAAAAAATTACTATTTATTGCTTTATTTTGACTTTTATCTTATCGATAGCGTGATTCGAGGACTATTTTTGTATACAAAATAACCAGAGAAAATTATAAGCAAGTGATGGATTATAAAATTGAAACCCACTTGTCTAGGGAGTTTTTAGCATCGACTCATTTTTTTTTTTAATAATAATGATAATAATAATAAAAAATCACCAACCTCAATTTCTCGTCAATCTCCGTCAAGATCGGCTTCGGCTTCTCCTTCACCCTGTTGACGTCCTCGTGCAACCCCTCCAGCAAGTACCTCAAGAACTCCTGCGCGTCCTGCTGCGCGTACCCGATGAACCTCGGCGCGAACCTCTGTATCTGGCTCTTCAGGCTCGTCGTGTTCACCACCCTGTCCGAGGCGTCCTGCGACCACAGCTTCTTGATCACCTCGACGAAGGACTTGATCAGGGCGCCCTTCATGCCGGACGTCGACGTGTTGATGTCGCCCACGTAGTGGTCCTGCAGGAGGTATTCGAGCAGGAGCTTGGTGTTCGAGAGGCACTGGATGACGGAATTCATGAAACATGTGTTGCCGATGTTCTTGAGGCCGTTCAGACCCTGCGTCTTCACCGGGCTCGAGTATTTGTCGTAGGAGTTGCTTTCATCGTTGTAGATCCTCTCGCGCTCGGAGGATCGCCTAGACGGACTGGTCGTCGAACTGGTGGAGGAGTTTAGGGTGGAAGTGGAAGGCGAGATCACCGATCGGTTCGAGGTGGTGCTGAGTTTCGGCGACGTGGAGATTTCCTGGGGAGAAAAAGAGATGTAGTCGAGGCGGGGGTGGGTGGGCGGGGGTGAGTTTGGGGGCGGGGGGCGGCGCTGACGCGTGTCGTGGATTTGGAGCGAGAGTTGACTAAAGCTATAAATAATTCGCTGTAAGTGGCGATTATTGGAAGTTAATGTATTATGTTATAGACTTCGATTGTAATCATTTCAATAGAAAGAAATATAAAAACCATGATAATGGTATCAATTAAATATCAGACAATTAAATATCAGACAATTCCATCTAGATTTTTAGATAAACTGTTTACTACCTAATCAACAAAAACAAAGAGTGAGAGGTACTCGTAAATAGGTAATTTGTAACTCTGGAGACAGTAAAGGATCTGAAAAGTATTAAGAAAATTATATACTTCATTCTAACACCACATAAATGATAATATAAATGCTAAAATGCTAAAATTTTGCTATCCACATCACTAACTTCATTGGATTACTCCAAAGCTTTTGATTCCACTAATCATAAGCTCCTAAATGCAAAACTCGAATACCTGGATTTTGACAACATTCTGATACGCTTTTTTCAAATCTTATTTAAACAACAGAGTCAAAAAGTGCATTAAAACAACCAAATGTTGTAATTCGGTGTGGGTAGTTCAGGTGTGCCGCAAGGATCAGTATTCGGCCCGTTGTTATATCTTTGTAGACTTTTGACATACCTAAACACGTTAAATATGCTTCATTTTATTGTTTTGTTGCTGATATTCAGTTGTATACTTTTAATAACAATTGCCATATTTTCCTTTATCCGTTTCTTGATTCTGAAATATCAATATTTGAAAATTGTAATGTTTCAGATTTTTTAAAACACTCTGTATATTAGAATTTGATTGAATTGATCTCACAACAACAAGAAAACCTAAGTTGTATGCTATACCTCAAAGAATCGCGAGCTTGGTAACTCACCCTGTATATGTTTTTTTAATTGGATTTTTCTTATTTTTCGCGGTTCAATTGAGTAATTGTGTTTTTTTTACTTTCTATTACTTATTTTATTATTAAATCACAAAAATATGAAAATTATATGCTCAAGGTATTACACAAATTAAATATATACAGGGTGAATTCTAAGCACGCGTTCCTCGATATTTCAGTAATTATTGTTATTGAGAATAAAAAAAATATGTATTAAGTAAAAGAGAAAGGCAAAATATAAGCCCCGCCCACCCACCCTGCCTCAATCCTGATGATTTTTTTTGCCGGTCGTAAATCGTGGGGCGGAGCTTAATTGCAAAATCCTTGTTTTCCTAAGATAAGCCCCACCCATCCGTGTCCATCTCAATCTGGCTTTAATAATAGTATTTTTTGAATAATATGATGCTCAAAAACATGTCTTACAAGGAAATTTCTTGTAAACAATTGAGGATTTTGCAATTAAGCTCCGCCCTCTTGGCTCACGATGAATAAAAAAATCATCACAATTGAGATAGGGTGGGTGGGTGGGGCTAACATGTTGCCTTTTTTTTCCCCAAATATACCTAGTCATCTTTTCACCACAAAAACTTAAAACAGATGACTACGTATATTAAGAAAAAAAGGCACAATATAATATAGTGTTCTTATTTTTGTCTATGGAATATCTTATAATTCTTTACATTTTCGCGTTAATTTCTTAGTTTTAAACCCGTAGTCTATTTTTCAAATTCCTATGCGACGTTGCCAAGTTATTTTCATTATCTTGAATTTTTTTAGCAAAGGAAGTTTCACAAAAAAAAAAACACAATAGGTTGATTTTTCAATTTTGTCTTACAATACTTTAAGGACAGAGAAACAAAGGTATATTGAGTTTTAATATACAGAATGTTTACAAAAAATTCTAAATTATTACAATTTTCATTTCTTCAAATAGAACACCTGTATTTTATTACTGCCTCTTATTTTGTTTTTTCTTCTATTTTTTTTATTAGGTATTTTCTATATCTAAAGTTGAGTTTTGGCAAATTTTCACTTTTTTAGGAGTGTTATATTTGAAAAATCTGAAATATCGATTTTTGAAAATTGTAATATTTTAGATTTTTTTAAACACTCTGTATATTAACATTTAACTAAACTGATCCCACAATTCTTCAGTTCTATTAAAAAAAGAAAACCTTAGTTGCATGCTATACCTCAAAAGATGGCGAGCTTAGTAAATCACCGTGTATATGTTTTTTTTAATTAGATTTTTCTTAAGTCATTCTTTTTTTACTTTCTATTACTTATTTTATTATTACACCACAAAAATCTAAAAATTCTAGGATTACAGTTTTACACAAATTGAATATATACAGGGTGAGTTACTATGCACTTATTATATAATAAAAAAAGTTAGGGAGTAAAATTTTTAAGTAGTATACATTAAAATTATTTTGAACTATATGTATTAAGTAAAAAAGAAAGTCAAAAGATTTAATTTAATTTTTAATATATAGGTATAGTATTTTTTGAACAACACGATCCTAACATGCTAATTTTTTGTAGAAAAATAAGGATTTTGCAATTAAGCTCCGCCCCCTTGGCTCACGACGAATAAAAAAATCATCATAATTGAGGCAGGGTGGGTGGGCGGGGCTTATATTTTCTCTTTTTTCTTTATATACATAGTCATCTTTTCACAACAAAAATTTAAAACAGATGACTACGTATATTAAGAAAAAAAGGCATAATATAAGCCCCGCCCACCCGCCCTATCTCAATCGTGCTGATTTTTTTCCCGTCGTAAGTCGTGGGGCGGAGCTTAATTCCAGAATCCTTATTTTCTTACGAGAAATTGCTACGTGAAATATGTTCTTTAGTAATCGTGTTGTTTACAGCAAACTATATGCATTAAGTAAAAAAGAAAGTAAAAAAATAAGCCCCACCCATTTAATTTTTAATATATATAGTATTTTTGAACAATACGTTGCTAAAAACATCTCTTGCATGACAATTTCTTGTAGAGAAATAAGGATTTTTCAATTAAGCTCCGCCCTCTTGGTTCACGATGAATAAAAAAATCACCACAATTGAGGTAGGGTGGGTGGGCGGGGCTTATATTTTGCCCGTTTTTTCTTATTGTACGTAGTCAGCTTTTCACAACAAAAAATTAAAACAGATGACTACGTATATTAAGAAAGAAAGGCATAATATAAGCCCCGCCCACCCGCCCTATCTCAATCGTGATGATTTTTTTTTACCGGTCGTAAGTCGTGGGGCGGTGTTTAATTGCAAAATCCTTGTTTTCCTACTAGAAATTGCTATGAGAAATACGTTCTTGAGTAATCGTGTCGTTTAAAGCAAATTATATGTATTAAGTTAAAAAAGAAAGTCAAAAGATAAGCCAAACCCATTTAATTTTTAATATATATAGTATTTTTTGAACAACACGATGCTAAAAAACATGTCAAATATAGGAATTTCTTGTAGAGAAATAAGGATTTTTCAATTAAGCTTCGCTTTCTTGGCTCACGATGAATACAAAAATCATCACAATTGAGGTAGGGTGGGTGGGAGGGGCTTATATTTTACCTGCTTTTTTACATACGTAGTCATCTTTTCATAACAAAAATTTAAAACAGATGACTAAGTATATTAAGGAATAATATAAGCCCCGCCCACCCTCCCTATCTCAATCGTGATTTTTTTTACCCGTCGTAAGTCGTGGGGCGGTGTTTAATTGCGAAATCCTTGTTTTCCTACTAGAAATTGCTACGAAAAATACGTTCTTGAGTAATCGTGTCGTTTAAAGCAAACTATATGTATTAAGTTAAAAAAGAAAGTCAAAAGATAAGCTCCACCCATTTAATTTTTAATATATATAGTATTTTTTGAACAACACGATGCTAAAAAACATGTCAAATATAGGAATTTCTTGTAGAGAAATAAGGATTTTTCAATTAAGCTTCGCTCTCTGGGCTCACGATGAATAAAAAAAAAATCATCACAATTGCGGTAGGGTGGGTGGGCGGGGTTATATTTTACCGTGTTTTTCTTAATATATATGTAGTCATCTTTTCACAACAAAAATTTAAAACAGATGACTACTTATATTACGAAAAAAAGGCATAATATAAGCCCCGCCCACCCACCCTATCTATATCGTGATGATTTTTTTACCCCTCGTAAGTCATAGGGCGGAGCTTAATTGCAAAATCCTTGATTACCTGCCAGAAATTTCAATGTGAAATATGTTCTTGAGTAATCGTTTTATTTAGAGCAAACTATATGTTTGTATTAAGTAAAAAAGAAAGTAAAAATATAAGCCCCACCCATTTAATTTTTAATATATATATTGTATTTTTTGAACAATACGATGGTAAAAAACATCTCTTACATGGCAATTTCTTGTAGAGAAATAAGGATTTTTCAATTAAGCTCCCCCTCTTGGCTCACGACGTATAAAAAAAATCGTCACAATTGCGATAGGGTGGGTGGGCGGGTCTTATATTTTACACTTTTTTTCTTAATATATGTAGTCATCTTTTCACAACAAAATTTAAAACAGATGACTACGTATATTAAGAAAAAAAGGCATAATATAAGCCCCGCCCACCCGCCCTATCTCAATCGTGATGATTTTTTTTACCCGTCGTAAGTCGTGGGGCGGAGCTTAATTGCAAAATCCTTGTTTTCCTGCGAGAAATTGTTACGTGAAATATGTTCTTGAGTAATCTTGTTGTCTACAGCAAACTATATGCATTAAGTAAAAAAGAAAGTCAAAAGATAAGCCCCACCCATTTAATTTTTAATTTATGTAAATAGTATTTTTTGAACAACACAATGCTAAAAAACATGTCTTACATGGGAATTCCTTGTAGAGAAATAAGGATTTTTTAGTTAAGCTCCGCCCTCTTGGTTCACGATGAATAAAAAAGATCACCACAATTGAGGTAGGGTGGGTGGGCGGGGCTTATATTTTGCCTGTTTTTTCTTATTGCACGTAGTCAGCTTTTCACAACAAAAACTTAAAATCGATGACTACGTATATTGAGAAAGGCATAATATAA